CCGACACCGATAGCCACGAGTTTTCTTAGTAAACGCTGATCTCATTGGAATGTCTAGGTATAGGTTATTTATATAAAATAAAGATTTTATTGTTTTAACTTTATAATTACATTGAACTTACATAATTCGAAATTTATTTTTGTCATTATTATGTATTATGTATCCGCTATAACATGATAATGAATCTCACTGATGTTGTGTTGAATAAATTTATCGGCGTTGTAAGATTTGTGAGTTGTAACCTTCTAAAATGTTTGTACCTTCCACTGCAAGCAATTTAATGTTTAATTCATAATCTCAATACTAAAAAATTATAAGTTACAGTGGACATTGTGAATATGTTTGACCAACTATAGGATTCTATTATTAATTCCATGTAAAAAATGTTTTTATGTAGGTACGACGCGGATATTTGCTTTGAAAAATAAACGTAGTAAAAATAGTGTGTCTGTGTTTTATTTCCTTATAATGAATACCTATCTTTAATCAAAAGAAAAGTCAATAACATATTAAGTAGGGCTCATGGACTACCAGTATAGCTATTTCGTGTCTATCTGTTGTGACAAAATCCGATAAATTCAAATAAATTTTGATGATAAGCACGTTGTTTCATAGCATCGCCAGGACCTGCAGCGCGATGCGGTCGTTGTCAAAGTTTGGTTGGCGAGGGGCGGGCGGAGGGGACCGATAAACTTGTGGAGCGGGAAGTGGGGTAATGACGTAACGAGGAGTGGAGGGAGAGGGGAATAAGTCGGGCGATCAGATGTATGCGTGTGTGAGTTTGGAGTGATAACACCGATGCGCGGTCAGTGACTTCTACAATCAGGGTTGTTACAGTTAATTAATTTTTTAATTTTTATCGTCAAAAAATGCTTAGATTCGTATTTTAAAATTATGCCATTTGATTCTAAGTCTGATATATATACACGCCTTTAAATGTTACAACATCTTTCTGTAACATCCTTTATATATTCATACTTAGCAAAGTACCCGTTAAGCGTAGGAGCCGCCACCTTTTTTTTACGTCGGGAAATCCGTTATGGATACCCGGCCTCCCACATAGGGGAAACCAGATTATGTCGGACTCACACCGACTAAAACCCCACGGTGGACGCCATCGGCTTTCATTCACCTATGAAGCTTAAACCTACTTAAGCCATTGTCGCTCTTAGGTTCGCTGTACTGACCTATAGAGGGCCAGTCACCCGCGATCCCTGAGGCCCCGTTTCCGGTACGGGAATACTATTTATATTTGGAGGACCGTAACGTGGTGTAACCTCGTTTCGGTGACCCCGTCTCCGAGAGGGATCAGTCCTCTCTCGGTCCCTCTCAGCAGCCTCCTTCTTGACCATTACGGTCTCGCAGAAGGAGGTTACGGCTCTCCATGCTACGTCTCGATTCAGCATCGCCGATACGACTGCTGGTAAAGAGAGGTTTCCTCCAATGTAGCTTACCAGGATACTCCGCTCCGTCTCCCATGCTGGGCATACCGCCATGGTATGCGTTGTGGAATCCTGGTAGCTTCCATCGCAGTGGAAACAATTCGCCGTCGCCTCACGTCCGATTTTACACAGATAATCACCAAAACATCCATGACCAGTGATTATCTGTGTAAGTCTGTAGGTAAGCCTGCCTTCGCGTCGCTGCATCCAGGCTTCGAAGACTGGCAGGATAGCTGTTCTTGGCTGAGCCGAGCGCGCCAGACCAAGAAAGCGGAATGCCGTTCCTGTCGTTTGATGGACTCGAGCGCCTGTTCTGGCTCGCTAATACTACTCTGTCGGAGGGCACGGATTCGGTAGTACACCCTCGAGTCCATTTCCGCCAGTATGTCCAGAGGAGGAAAGCGAGCCAGCACAGTTGCCGCCTCAAAGGATATAGTTCTGTACCCTCGTACGATCCGTATAGCCATCCGCCCCTGGACACTGTAGATCTTAGACCTGCAACGTCGGATGGCGAGTCTTTTTGACCACACAGGTGCCCCATATAAGGCTACGGATCGCACGACTCCAGCATAGAGGCGGCGAACTTCTTCTCTTGGTCCCCCAAGATTAGGTAGCAGTCTGTGCATTGCACCCGCTACCTGCTCGATCCGGGGGACTAGGCGCTCGAAGTGTTCTTCGAAGCCCCAGCGACTATCAAGGATTAGGCCCAGGTACTTCATGTACCGACCTACCCTTATTTCAGACCCACCCACACGGACACATGAGTTGGGTGGTTCCCTGCCTCTTGGCATCTTATGGAACCACATCGCTTCGGTCTTATGTGGCGCTACTTCTAGTCCTAAATCGTGAATTTTGGTGACGACGATTTCAACCCCAAGCTCGGCGAGCTCTTTGGTCCTCTCAAAGGTGTCCCCGTATGCGACTATTAATGTGTCATCCGCGTAACAAATAATGCTCACATTAGTGGGGAGATCGACACGCAGGACGGCATCATACGCCACGTTCCACAGTAAAGGACCGAGGACAGACCCCTGTGGAACTCCGCAATGAATCTCCCTCCGGATCTTGTTGCCGTCTTTGTCCCTATATAAGATGTACCTATCGCGCAAGTAGTCTGCGATAACGCCTTGGAGATAAGGGGCACTTGATGGTAAGAAAGCCCCCCCATGATGGCATGCCAGGGTAGAGAATTAAAGGCATTGACGATGTCTAGACTTATCGCCAATGCCACACCACCCTGAAAAACTGCCTGATCCGACAAGGAGCGGACGCGCATGATCGCGTCTATCGTAGAACGCACCTTTCGGAAACCAAACTGGCTTTCAGATAGATCGGGACCGACACGCGATAGATGCCTATTAAGACGAGCAGCAAGAATTCTCTCAAACAACTTGTCAATCTCGTCCAACAGGCATATTGGACGGTACGCAGAGGGAGATTCTGCTGCCCTGCCTTCTTTCTTCAAGAGGACCAATCTTGAAACTTTCCAAGCTGTAGGAAACGTGGAACTATGGAGGCAACTATTAAATAATTGCCTCACCCTGTCCCCCAGTACAGTTAAACTCAGCACCCAGACCCGACCTGGTATTCCATCAGGTCCTGGCGCATTGTTCCGAGCTCTTAAGCGGCCAATAGCTTGATCTAGTTCTTGAACAGTCACTCCCATGTCATCTTGCCAATCCCACAAAAGTAGGGGAGAGCCTGAGGGACCTGATCGAACTGTTGGAATAGCGTGTTGATCACTCGTCCCAGTAGGTTAGGGTCTAACGATTCCGTCAGAGGAGGCATCCAGGGCCTAAGCTTACCCAACACCATTCTATAAGGACGTCCCCATGGATCTGTGTTGAGTCCCTCCAAAAGCTCTACCCAGGATCGAGTCTTAGCATTTGCGATTGCGATTGCGATATGCAATGCCTTCGTGGCCGCTCGGTAAGACATGTAGAGACTAGTTGTCTCCTCGGCCGTTGCTCGCCTTCTTCTTCGGGCTCTGGTGTATTGGCGTCTGCTCCGCAGATAGACGGCACGTAGTCGCGAGATTTCCGCCGACCACCAGTACACCGCCCTACGTTTGGGGTTTCTGGTCCGGGGCATAGACATGTCACAAAGTTGAGTCATCGTGCCCCGCAACCAGGTTGCTTCCCTTTCAGGATTGGACGAAACTCCTTCGGTGTCTTTTGGCCATGCCGCAATGTTGGCGGCAGCTTCCAGTAGGTCCCGATTTAGTCGCTTGAGGCACCAACGACGAAGTGGGCTGCAATCACGGCGACTACTAAGGCGACGGGGAGCGATGTCGAAAACGATGTGGCGGTGGTCAGATAATGTGACCATGTCCTCTGCAACCCGCCATCCCGATACCATTTGTGTCGCAGAAGGAAACGCCCATGTTAGGTTGACGACCGACTCTCCTTGCCACCGTACACAGGTACTGACGGACCCCCGATTCAATAGTCGGAGGTCCAGCCCAGCCGCCCCACTCTTTTATGGCCTCCCCTCTCGAATTGTTTCTGGGGTTTCCCCACTCTCTAGCATGGGCATTAAGATCCCCCAGAACAATTAACGGGTGAGGCGGGCAACTGCGGACACAGTCTGCTACCTCATCCAGATACATCTGGTAGTCAGCGAGTAACCCATTGGGAGAGACATAGCATCCGATGATGACCAGGGTTCCCCAGTGCACTGCAACGAATCCCCGCCCCCTTCTTAATAGGGTGCAGGGTGGGGCATCCTCCCTTACTTCCCAATAAATGGCTACGGAGCTAGAGTCATCGCCGAACCAGCGGGGATCATCAGGCACAACCTAGGGTTCCGCTATAACTGCTAGGGCAACCCTCCTCATTCTCATTTTGTGCATTACGGCAGTGGTTTAAGTTACCCTGGAGGACTTTTAGGATGTTCGTGGTGGTTTAAGAGTCGGTTACCTCCATCACCGAGATTTGACTCGGTACTGCAGCTGTGGTCGCCATAATGTTGGAAACGCTGAGAGCATTTTCCCCACGCATACCTTTTCTACTGCTCTTTTTGAGCGGCAGGGCGCACTTCCTACCCAATCGGTGTCCAGACGGGCGTCCTAAGTCTGAACAAAGTGGGCATTTTAGAACTGAACCGGAACAATTCTTAACCGTATGACCAGGCTCACTGCAGGCGTAACAGCGATTGCTACGATCAACATTATTGGGACAACGTTTTCCAACATGACCTTTCTCAAGGCACCTGTAGCAGTGCAAGGGCCTGGGCTCCAATAATTCCACTCGAGCAAATCCCCACCCCACACGTAAACGTCTGGCTGCTGCTAGCTTACGGACCGCCGCAATAGGACATCGTACCCAGCAGGTTCCCATGCTGATGGGTGATCGACGAACCTCGCCAACCTTGACATCGTCAGCCGAACAACCACTTGCCTCCACGATAGCTGCTGTTAGTTCTGAAGGACCAACAGAGTCATCGAGGTCTCTAAACCGGACGTCGCCCGTTTTTACCGGGCGATTGATACGGACGTTCGACTCTGACAGGATCTCACGCAGCTTAACCGCCAGCTTATCCGCTTTCGGGCCACAGTCAGTTCCGCCGATCTCCATTAGGATTCCCCCTGTAATGGCACGCTTTTGTCAGATAACCTCGATTACGAGTTCCTCTAGCAGAATTTTCGCTTTGGCGTCCTTCATTATGCTGCCGTAGGTAGCGGTGGAACCCTCTCGTAAAGTAATTGTTACAGCCGCAGATGTTGGGGCACGGACAGGTCCATTTCATCTTCGTGAACTGTTCCTTGGACACATAGTTCATCGGCGACTTTTGTGTCGTCTGGTGTACTTTTGGTCTTTTAGCCACGTCCGCCCAAGACCTTGTTACTGTAGACGCAGAAGTTTGCAGCACAGGCTTCGCTACAGCAGGTAGATCTGCCACAGGTGGATATGTCGGCTTCTGCCGTTTCCTCGCCTTCTTTTTATTTTTCTTCTTTTGCGATCGTGCATCGGCTGAAAGCGACTGCATCGGCGTTGTTAATTGCTCAGTGACAACCGTCATGGACTTCACTCCCAGTGGTGGGTGTAGTGCCTTATTCGATAACAACCGAGATTCGAGAGCCGCCAATTTACTCTCAATAAACGCTCCAATGCGTTCCATTAGTGCCTCCTCTCCGCTACTGGGCATTGGAGCATCTGCGGTTGATTGAGCAGATGACTTAGAGACACTGACTCTTTCATGTGTTTGTTTACGAAGGTAATTAATTTCCTCCGTCATTTTATCCGCCCTGTTGCTAAGGCTAGAAAGCGCTGAACGAAGTTCAGCATTTTCTCTCTCTAGTCTTGCGATATTTTCGTCAGCGGCGGACCTCCGGGCCAGCTCATTAGCAGCGGCTTTTACATTCCGCACGGCTAACTCCTATTTTACCTCCTTTGCTACCTCCTCAATGGCTTGAAGTTGACGGTCTATGTGTTCTTCAACTTTTCTGCCTGCCTGAGATCGCAGTTCTAACGCAAACTCCTCTGTACTAGGCAAAGTTGATTTGGCCCTGGACTTGGATGATACCACTGAGAAGTCGGCAAAGTCCTCATCCGTATCAATCTCAGTGGCCATATCCTCCACTTCAGTAGGAGTTGCCGAGGCAGAGGCTGCTACTGCCTGTGACAGCTGTGAACCATCAGACTCAGCTTCTTTTGATTCTCCAGATTGAGCTAATCGCCCCCGTCTTCCACGTCTTCCCCTTGAGTATCGTGCCGAGTTAATGGGATCTCCCAGCACGGCTTCCTCCTTTCTAAGTTGGTCCTTGGATGTTAGGCGATCCGCGGACGATGTAGATGTATCGCCGCAAAACAGTGTGTTCGCCCCCCCCCCCCCCCCCCCCCAGATACGATGGGGCTGCCTAGGCTAGGCCTAGGGGTGGATTCTCCGGCATTGCCGGTACCACCCATGTTTCCTTTTTTACAAGGGTTTGGTCCCTGAAATTCCCCCCCTTCCCCCTGAGCGCTTGGCACTGGAATACCACCAGCGATTCACCCCATCGGCACGCTCGACCTTAGGGTTATGGAATTTTTTATAGAGGTTGCCTTCCTCATGGCCTTCATGGCCCTCGCTCCCGAAGGTTTACGGGTGATGCGGCGTCGGTAATAACCGAAATGCACGTAGCATATCACCGCACTTGTCACGTCCGCTGTTCTTTGCAAAATAAAGAAACATGGAGTGACATAGAGCCTCGAAGGCCCACCTCGAAGGCAATCCTCCTCAGGATTCCCTCTTGGCCGTTTCTCGAATCTTTAAAGATTCGAGGGTACGCCCCAAACCCAGCCAGTTTTGGTCCACGACGGTTTTCCGCTACCACCCATATCTGGGTGGCATTCCCCTATCCACCACCTGGGGATGCGCCCGATGGGAGATCTGGCAACTCCTCACGGGAGGAGCCGCCACCTACAGACCCATGCCGCTATCTACGTTCCGGCGCAATCACCGTAGACCGCGACACGTTCTCGACTTCTCTGACGATGAGATGACTATCGCCATCGAAACGATCAAAAAACTGCGCAAACACACCAAGCAAACCAAGTAAACATACAGGGAGATTTTAGGGGAAGTGCCCGAATTTACACAGGAGGTTCAGACTCTGTAGTATAATCGTTTATTCACATAAAAACAAAGTTTTTTTTTAAAAATGCCATTCTATTCCCTAAAAAACAGAACGTGTTGACAATGCGGTAGTCATTCGTAAATACCTAAATTATACTGTGCACGTACTTGTGTCCATGTTAGTTATGAATGATCGTGCGTAAAATGAATGAGTTGCGTATAAATCATGCAATTTTGAGATTAGTTCAAATGAATGTAATTAATTACTTACAGAGTGATTTTAAACATTTATCATTTTTAATATAACATTATTTATGTCTAGAATCGAATAAAAAAAAATGGATACAATTAGAAAAGCCTCCCTGTATACTAGGTTTCGCCACGTACCTGGCAGGTTCTCCCCAATTAATGATAGAAGCGTTGCTGGAGTTTCTTTCGCCACTTCTTCTCCCAGCGCCAACGGTTTACGAAGTGGTAGTATCGATAGTTCTATAAATTGCCCCAGCCAGATAACAGTTACCGATTGAGCCGAGGTCCGGCCATCTCGGGCACTCTCGAATCGGAATGCTAAACGCGTGTTGAGTGACAGCCCAAGCCGAGGCCCTCTGTCGGGGACCCATGAGTCTAGTCACTCCATGGAGCGTCCGCCAAAGCACCCTAAGAGCTTGGCGGCCTCCCAAATCGGTGAAACTAATAGCGTGACGGCCCGAGCTGAGGCTCCCTCGGCAGCCCTCGTGCTTAGTCACCATAACGCGTAATAATAATACGCCGAGGTTCAGGCTGGGCGCCCCGAGCGCCCGGCCACCTCAAGCCCGTCGGATCTGTAAAGGCCCCTAAGGCCAACAGAGGCTCATCCAGCCAAAAAACTTAGCAAGGGACTTCTGTTCTGTTGCGTACGGCGACACTTCCACATCTCGTGGAACTAACCGGACCAATAGATATATAGGGCAAGCACAAGCGAACAGAGGTGCTTCGTACCATATGAACACTTTCTGAACCTTGCATTCGTCTATCCTTGTATTCTTGTATTGTAGTTTGCTTAAATAAATAATTAAAGTGTTAAACGAAAGTCTATCATTTTACACTCTTGTTCAATACGGGTTTACACCAGCTCCCACACCGCACAATCACTTGACTAAATTGTTTACTTTATAACAACCATTATATTGTAATATCATGTAATGTATGGTGAGGAGAAGTAAAATACTTTATAATTAAAGTAAAGAGTAAAGTATCAGCCTATACATGTCCCACTGCTGGGCAAAGGCCTCCTTTATACAGAGGGTATCAGGGCATAGTCCACCACGCGGCCCCACTGCGGATTGGTGGACTTCACATATCTTCGAAATATTTTTTTTGTTATTATTTCAAAAATATGCAGGTTTCCTCACGATGTTTTCCTTCACCGCTGAGCACGTGATAATTCAGCACTTAAAATTGACAATTTCATTGGTGCCGGCACCGGGGATTGAACTCAGGTTGCTCGAGTATATTGAATTAAAGGCGAGCGCCCGGACACTGAGCTATCACGGCTCTCACTTTATTATTATATAGCTAAAATTTATTATTAGTAGGTATGAAATTATGATAACACCTTACGGTATTCCATTCATTTTATCTCTTTTTGCCACTATACCAACTATGCGTTAGAAAGTGATGAAGCGAATATCAATATCATAAGGGAGAAAACGTTGATATTGTTTTGCTTGGTTTTGGGTATAGAACGTTTTCGTTAGTTGCGTTAGTTATGTGTTGGTACAGTTTTTGTATATTTAAATGATATCAAAGTTTAGTTATCGACATCAAACGATATGTACTGCGTAGGTAATTGTTTTCAGATACGTTTTGATATATCGGACACATGCCTAGTATGCAATTTATCCTTTATCTGTCAAGCATTGGCAGTATGACTCTGTAGTCTGTTACTCTGTTTATTATCTATGCTCATAAATGCTAACGCTTGCTTACTTCGATGGCGTCCGATTTTAGATATTGTGATGGATAGCTTAAGTGAAAGATAGATTGAAATAGTTTTTATATAATAATTAAGTTAGTGTTTTACTAAAAGTATGTGATAATAGTATTTTCTGTGAAAATATTTGATTAAATTGTAATAATGGCAGCGAAAACATCGGACTGGCGACCGGGCTCTACTGTATGTCGCTGTTGTCTTTCAGAAGGTTGCTACAAAGACATTTCGACCGAATACTTTTGGATGGGTAAACGAGAAGTTTACGCTGAAATGCTTGCGGACACCTTCGATTTAAGTGTAAGTCTATTTTATTGTTACATTTTTCCATTTCTTTCGGTGGCGTCCATTTTCTACAGCATTTTTTGTAACCATAATCCAACTAAATTGAATGGTCTCTATTTTGGTTAGAGTTGTGCGCAGGACAGTATCTTTGTATCATGGCCGATTGTAAAATCAATAATATAAAATTCAAAATTGGGAAGCGTTAGTAGCTCATATACTTAAATATTACTCGCCTTAGGCATGTCTTAGTCTTATAGTCATTTCACCTTCGTTCTTAGTTGTATTTAAATACAAGACAGAAAAGTGATGTGAATGTACCTCATCCATATTGGATGAATTTCACCCATAAAATTTTCATTCTCATTAACGATAACTTTGACTTTGTGCTAAATAAAAAATGAACACACCATTAGCACAGCACATTACACATACCTACATCTAAAACTTCAAGAGGCTCAGAGGGTCAAAATTGCAATTGTTTTGTACATACAATGGGATCAAGTCACAATTCAACTTGATCAGAATTAGTTTCAATGGGTTCAAGTTAACTGATAAACATATTAAAACATACTTTTATTTTTCGTGAATAATAATATGGAACTAAGCTATACAGGTGTAAACAGTATATTTAACAGTAGGATTTGCAGTATATTTGGTTTTTATTTAATTCGTACACAGCAAAACATAATTCAGGTCTCACATTTTTGAATCCAAAAAAGTAGACTGTTGGTGCTACTAGTAATTCAAAGGCAACATTGTTATTTCTTTTGTTTCAAGAACTTATAAGCAATTATTAAACTACAACATAGTTCAAGATCATACTAGTGTTACAGAGCCAGGAGACATACTCTAATATTTCTTGAAATAAAATATCCATATTACCCGAAATCTTTTTGATTGGCCATTCGCAAAGAGGGTGTTCTCTTGCCTTAGTCTCTGATCACCCACACCATCATATAAAATCCAAAGATAGCAATTATACTATTTTTTTATTAAAAAACTAAAAACAAAAGTTTATTCCACAGTATTGTCACAAGAACCTACAAAATTAAACTGAAAACACTTTGGGTGTACATAGGTAATTGGCAAAATTGTTTGCTTTTAGTATGCAAGTTTCTAATAATTTTGATGCTTGGTATCAGAAGGAAAATTGAAATTGATATTACCTTAATTCATACAAATTGACATACAAGGGAATCAATAAAACCTTTTTAAAATGCATATTATGTAATATTTATATTGTTTGTGTTTTTGGAATTGTTTTCGACATCAATCTGTTTTGTCATTATTCAACAATATTGTTTACCGATGTATAGGTCTCATCATATATATCGGGATCACGCCTTTGGCGTGTTAGAAACGAAGTTTCGAGTCGGAATGCGAAAGTATGGTATTCTGTAAATTTCGCTTCCTCAGTAGAGGCTGCCCATTCATGTAACAGGACAAGTTTATATGTGGAATTGGTAAGAGCAATTTCCAATCTGTGGGAGTTTTATATGGAGCTGAAACTATTTTTAAGATCAATAAAAAATAACAAAATAAGGAGCAACTATAACAAAAACCAAGAAATCACTTGTCAACCTAGAAAGATCTATTATAACTCTTCCCCTAAAAAATTTCCCCCTTTTTGTAGGACATTATTCTGTGTTGTATGTTTTACATACATAAATTTTACGTGGAACAACCACCTTTTTCTTGGCAACTGTTCCACGCCATGGTGTATCATTTACTTATTAAAATATTTCCTTGTTTTCAGATTGCGTTCACCCAATCGGGGGCGCCAAGCAGCAACAGCCGCCTAATCTGCGAGCCGTGCATATCACGGTTGCGCGATGCTGCAGATTTTAAGAGGCAGGTGGTTGAGTGCGAGAAGACCTTCCTTCAGCACTTGGATCCCAGCAGTTCCAGCATCGTCTCTTTTGAGGGTGTGCTTCTTCCCATTCACCATAATATTGTTGAGATTATACAATAATACTTTATTAGGAACTACGGCAAAAAAACTCCTTAATCACGGTATATGTAGTGACTAATTGTTTTTTAATTTAATAACTTTACACTAAATGAAGATATCACAACTGTTTTTAGACCAAGGCAAAGTGTCAACAGAACAAAACTACTATTGTGTTGGGACTCCTTTGCCACCGTCATTTTACCACCACAATTTATTTATACAGACAAACATTATAAAGTAAAACAAATTACAAAATAATAATAAAAATCCGGCTCGGATTGGAACATGTCGATTCACTAGTTAGAAAATGTACAATGCGGGCAAGACGAGGGGGCGTGGTGGTCAATAATGCTCTCTCACCTGTCTCGCTCCCACTGTCCTTCACTTCTAGTATCACCCACGCGGCACCTAACTTTCGGTAAATAGAAGTAAATTTATCGAAAACACCCGTTACAGTGACCGGCGAGGGGGAGGTGGCCGACCCGGAGGTTAAGTTGGAGCGAATCAAAATCGAGAGCCTCGGCAGCGACGACGAGTTCGAAGCGCCAGCGGACTTCGGCGACGCGGACGACGATGACGACCGTTAGTATTGCCGCTTTATGTTCCATTCACACGTTCGTTCTTTCGTCCAATCAATAAATTGTTCGGTCGCCTCGCTTTAGTTTCATTCCCACATTCACTCATTCATTTGAACAGTTTATAAGTGCATTGCAAGTGTGGTAGGGCCACGCAACAGTGTTCGCTGTTGCACAAATGGGCGGGCTCTTCCGGGTAAGTACCACGACCTCACAGAAGGCCGGCATGAAGTAGAAGTATAATACTTTCGCGTTTCGTCTGGTGAGTGAGGTAGCCAGGCCCACTTTATTTAAAGGTGGCAACGCATTCGCATTGGCCGAAGCCCAATCTTCAAAAGGCTGTCAACGCATCTGCAACCCTCGGGTGTAGCAGATATCTATGGTGGGCGGTATTCACTTAAGATCTGGTGAACCGTCTTTTTCAACTTTTCACATTAAAAAAAATGTAACACGTTGTACGATTGTGCCGTTTCCAGTCGACGACGAGCCGCTCACCAAACTGGCAACGCGGTTGCCGAAAACCGAGTCGATGGACGCGGCGGACCTGATAGACAACGAGAACGCCGCCCTGGCCCCCAAACGGAAGTCTACCGCTTCCAGGGCGAAGGCCTCGCCCTCCAAGAAGATGAAAACGAAGAAGGAGTCCAAGGCGTCCGCCAGCAAAGCGAAACCAGAGAAGAAGAAGAGAGGTAGGCAGTCTGGCAGACTTTATCAAGTGTCGGATGGGGAGATCGATTTGAATGCCTCCATAGATGTATAAGCTTTGTCCTCTATAAAGCGATATTGTAACGGGATTGGATTTTGTGCTATAGTTGTAATAATTAAGTTATAACTGCTTTTATGTATATGTAATTAACTATACTATAATAAAAAACTATAATTAGTGGATGCCCAAGGCTTAATAGTTAGTCGGTGAGAATATTACTTTGTTACTAGTAGGTTCTGAATGTTCTTACTGGTTTTTGCAGTAATGATAACTTGAATTATTCAGCGTCAAAGTCTCTATAGGTTTTTGTAAGACGTAGTCTTATACACTATGCATGTCAACAAATGCAAAAAGCTACAAATACACATTCGTGTTGCTACAATAATTTTGAAGTTATTATTTTATTCAGTATTTAAAGCTTTTGGGCTCTTGTGATAAATCCCAAATTGCAGATGAAATGTTTTGGTGCAAATTATTGGATGGAAGGTATATCTTTTAATCACACTTGCTTTATTAACCTACATGTTCCTATAGACCAAGGATGAGCAACGCGGCCCCTTAAACATTCCCCGCCAAGTATTTCTGAAATTGAATTTATTTTATCGAATTTCTCCCATCAATATATTGTTATAAAATTAATTATAATAAAATGGTAGTACATACTGAACCGAAATATTTTTTGTTCATTTTTCTGTTCTTTTCTTTTTACCTTGCATTAAAATATGAAATCTTAACTTTTTAATTTTTTTTTATTATAATATTTATTAGAAATAAAGTTTCGTTAATTATTATGTGCGGCCCGCCAAAAAATTTGAAATTTAAATTGGCCCATTGATTAAAAAGGTTGCTCACCCCTGCTATAGACCATTTTTGTTTCTAAAATCGAAAATACTGAATTATTCATTGAGGTATTTTTTTTATAAAAATTTTATTAATTAAATAAAAAAAATATTTTTATATTAATTGCTCTAATAACAATTTTAGCAGTGAAACAAATGCAACATTCAACTATTAAATACATTTATTTGATAAACGTCATAAAGCTACCGTTTGCGTCCTCTAAATAACAAGATACTGAACTGAGAATTATTCTCAGCTACTAGGTTGGGCTTATATTACGCCTGGGTTATCCAAAATTATTGAACAGTTGAGAAAGTTCATCTCTCTCTAAGTGTTATTCATTCGGCGTTTACGGCGATCTTCGCATCCGACTGTATATTGACAGATGTTCTACTGTGAATTCTTCGCGACATTTTAAAAACACAACACACACACACACACACACACACACACACACACACAAAAAAACACACACACACACACACACACACACAACAAACATGCACACACACCTTTTATGTTCGTCCAGTATGTTTCTGCAGATGTTGTTATGAAAGAGAATTGGAAGGATGGGAGAAAGGTTGAAGAATAATTTCGAGATTGACCTCCGTCTATGCTAGAGATGTGTGCAGTTTATGTATGACAGCTTTTTGACATTTCCGATGATTTGAAGAAATTTAATACTCTTTATCATGAAGAAGTAAAAATGTTTCATGACGTCTTTGCTGATGAACTCTTATTCAGAGCAAAGAACTTTGGATATTCAAAAGGTTATTTTAAATTGGAAAAATATCATGGATAAATAGGCAATGATATCGACCGTTTAGCTTAGTGGGTTACCCCGAAGTCGCAGCAATAGCATACTGCAAGCGGCGTAAAAAATTTTTCGCCAAATTCTCTACAAATAGTAGCATTAATAATAAAAATTATTTTAAACATGAGTTAATACAGGTCTTTTCATTTATAAGTAATCTAATTGAGAATAGTAAATAAAGTACAAGCAAAACATTATTGGTAACAAGAAACAAAACCAGCTTTAAATCTCACTCTATATCAATTTCATTTGATTTCACTTGGTTTCCTGATCTCGTGAGTACAAGGTTCAACAACAATGAAACAAATGTTCAATCCCACATGGAAAATACACAAGAACATTTTTTTGTATTCCATTGAAAACTAGACAAAGTGGTTATGATATTTCGGTATACTTTTGGTTGTACCATTGGGGAGGCTTTTCCGGGGAAGACCCATATCCTCACAGAAGTAGTATCGTCTGCTGGGTGAGGTTAATTTTTTTTAATCTAAAAATGTTATCAAGGGAGCAGGCGGTTCACCCGATGTTAAGTGATCCTCTCCCATGGACATCTACAACACCTGTATGCTTTCACTAATAAGATAACTAAGTTTTCATGGTGGTAGGGCCACGCAGCAGCCTCGGCTGTTGCACAAATATGCAGGCTCGTCCGGGTAAGTACCAAGACCTCGCAGAAGACCAGCGTAAAGTGGAAGTATGACAAATACTTTCGCGTTTCGTCTGGTGAGTGAGGTAGCCGGAGCCCAATTTTCAAAAAGGTTGTAAACGCATCTGCAACCCTCGGGTGTGGCAGATGTCCATGGGCGGCGGTATTCACTTAACACCAGGTGAACCGTCTGCTCGTTTGGCAACTTTTAACATAAAAAAGAAGGAAAACGTGGGCCCCAGCTACCTCACTCACCAAACGAAACGCAAAGTATTACACTTTCACTTTACGTTAGTTTTGATGGTAGGAAACAACCAAAAACCCAATGGCGTTGTAGTGTTAAGATTAGTAGAACCGTCTGGTTGTTCTTCTAGAATAGTTTCTTTCCCTCGTAAAATAAGTGATTTGAACTGGTATTGATCAAAGACTTCTCATGAGTGAAATGTGCGTGAGGCAAGCTTTAGGTGTGTTTCTGTATCGCGAAATATGTTGTCCCGTGCCCTCTGCCACGTCGTGGTAATTGTGATATTTTGTCGTAGTTTTTCCATATAACATATTATGATGCACACTGTACTAAGGGATTTTTTTTCATATTATGATGCAAACTGAACTTGGAGATTACTTAGGTAGAAGTACTGTTACACGGTGAAACTCTTATGAGTTTATGTTTGTATCAGTTTAATATGTTTGTAATTTTTTTTCTTATACAAATAAATTAAAAAAAGAAAGTGGGCCTAGTTAGTAAGGATGAAGCCTTTTTTAAGCTTTAGAAGTTTTCCTGTACGAAAATCTTTTGTATGGGTTGAGAATCGAACCGGGAGCCCTTAGGAGATGATGCCCAGAACACAAATAAGAACTAAGCGATTATATAATATATTATGTATTTGTCAGTAATTATATATTATGTATTTGTTTTTCTGTGCCAATGTACAAAACGGGAATAAGTTGACAAGCAGGAATTACATTCTTTTTCACTCTTTTCGTTTTTTTTACCTTTGCCATTATTTAAATGCGATTTTTCGGATAATGTAAAAATGTTATTAACGGTTCACACCATTCTATTGATCACATCAACCTCACACGGGGACTTGCCAATTTGTTCAGCTCGTGCTTATAACTAACAAAAGTTGAATATGTTAAGACCTTTGAATTAATTTACTATTGCTAAAATTGAAACGTTTTGTCTTTTCACTCGACTAAGATTATTACTAAGATTCGCAGTAGAGGATCTGTCAACGCGTATTTCAAGCATGTTAGTGTTTAACTTAATCATAAGCGTCGTGCGGACATGTCTTGTGTTTATTTTTAAACTCTGCTCAAATCGAAACTGTTCCAAATTTGAATCGGTCCATTTTTATTCCTCATTTTTCGCTTATCAAATTCGGCCGGTCTCGATTGAAGCAGGCAGAGCGGGTGGGATTGTATTTGATTGTTTTTTTGTTGTTTTTTATTCTGTGCCATTTAATCTAGGTGACAGCGGCGGTTATGGAGGGAGGCCGAAGAATTGTTTTATCTTAATATAGATTGTTATTTCAGTTACGAAATTAAAACAAAAATACATGTTCCATATTTAATTTAAGTTCTTTACTATATTTTTTTGAAACTGGAACCAAGTGTATGATCCGCATTCGACGGTTCTTTTAGCGTCATTGCGTATGTATAGTACATACATCACATATAGATATAGTATCGCTACAACCTCGATGGTTGGCGGTCCACGACTGTGCGTTTTTGGCCCAAATTTCTGCTATGCACAACGGGACCTTCAACAAGAGAGCCTATTCCTCAATGGCCTGCAACGCATTTGTGACTCCTCTGGTGTAGCTTGTGTCCATGGGCGGCGGTGAACACTTGCCATCAGTTGGTCCGCCTGCTCGTTTGCCTCCTAAAGGCAAGTGCTTGGGTTCGATCCCAGCCGGGTTGAAGTATTTGAACGGTCCCCACTACAAATAATTGTTCCGGATATATTTGACATTATCAATGCGATCATCATTTATTTGAGAGTAATTAAAGAAATAAAATTTTTTTTGGTGTGTTTTGTGATTTACCATTTGAAATCAATCTGTGAATTCTCGATTATTAATGAAAATGATTGGAATGCAGCACATTTTCTCACTGCATTCGTTATAAGAAATGTCGTGTATATTATTATAAGAAATGTAGTGTAGACAGGTATACAAAATAAATGCGACTTGCCAGTTGGCCCCTGTAGTACTCCTCGTGTATGTAAACAGCCTAAACATGTCCCACAAAGTTCTCCTCTGTAGAGCGCGCCCGCACCGCGGATTGGCAGACTTTACATATCTTCGATTATTTTTATTACGATTTCGAAAGTATGCAGGTTTCCTCATGATGTTTTCTTTCACCGCCAAGCAAGTCAACATTTAAAATTAGCAGTTTTTTTTCGTAACTGGCAACCGTATTAGAACTCTGTTTGTTCGAGTATATTGAATTAAAAGTGAGCGACCGGCCACTAAGCTATCAGGATTCCGTAGGCGACACTACGTTTACCGGCATTCAATCATTCAAAGAGATGAACTTTAAAATGATGACTCACTGTCATAGTTTGTACCCCAAATTACGTGTTGTGTTCGAACCCAAGACCACCCAATGTACTTCACTACAGCGATGATAGTTGATTTACTGTAAACTTTAGCAAATCGTGGCCTACCCCCTCCCGGATATCATCAGTCCGCCATATCTGGTAAGTACAAAATTTTGTTTGATTGAGCTCTGTGGTGAAATTATTTTACCCATAAAAGACATGTCCTCACGAGATGGCCTTCCTGGCTGGGGCGTTGCGAAGTTTTTTAGAGTAACGTTAACTTTGTGGATAGTGAGTGTTAAGTAATTCGTTAGAATAAAGATGGGATTTAAATAACTGATGTAAGTTGCTTATTCAAATTATTTAATTTCGTTAACTTCAGGCACTTATTTGTGAACTTTGTATAAACTGTTAGACTGTTCAGAGAATACTAGTATTTTTTTGTAATGCGAAAAGTTGCCAAACAAGTCGACGGGTCACTTGATATTAAGTGAATACCGCCGCCCATGGACATCTGCTACACCTGAGGGTTACAGATGCGTTGACAACCTTTTGAAAATAGGGCTCCGGCTACCTCACTCACCAGACGAAACGCGAAAGTATTTGTCATACTTCCACTTTACGCCGGTCTTCTGTGAGGTCGCGGTACTTACCCGGACGGGCCTGCACATTCGTGCAACAGCCGAGGCTGCTGCGTGGCCCTACAACCGTTATATATTTGCGGCTCGACAATTATCGGGAATTTTAAAACCCAGTAGTTTTGGTACGATTTAAAAACACAAACTGAACCGTATAGTCCTTTTAGAGGAATCCTCGTATCTTGTTAGAGACACATTGTATTGGTACACGAGTATATCGGCATTTATTGAATAGAAAGAAAACTTCACACGCGGCTATCCTTGATAGAAATGTCGAATAATTAATGTGTTTTAATGTAATTGGGACTTAAGAAAGCAGAAAACGGAAAATCTCACCGCAGTAGCGTTGAAGCCGCGACGTAAGATCACAATTATGTTTATTAGGAACAACATTTTCTAATGATTAAATTGTACTAAATCCTTACTAATATTATAAAGTCGAAAGTTTGTATGTATGGATGGATGTTTGTTACTCTTTCACGCAAATACTACTGAATGGATTTTAATGAAACTACAATAATATAGCTTATAACATCAGAATAAGACATGGGCTATAATTTATATACATATTTTATGTATATCTGTCTTTCTGTCTGCATGTTACGTCTTCAGCCTATTCTACGCAGGCGTATTCGTGGGCAGCAGCTAGTGTATAATATATACATCACTACTCGGTTACCAGTGTCATTGGGTTCTGGTAAAATACTGGTATACCGCAAGGGTCTGTGTTGGCGACCACACTATTGACTGCTAGAGCGAATGTTTGTTTGTGAAGTTTTTTTAAATGTTAGTCTTTCAATCTCCAAAAGATCCCATCTTTATATTTTCAAAAATAGAGAAACGAAACTATTGCATTGCTCCGGAAAACTTCGAAAACGTCGTTGCAAATCACCAAACTATTGTTTTATGTTTTTCGATTTCTATAACGTACACGTTTGCAACGTAAACGTTTACGTTGCGTTTTGCGATTTGCACGTAATTAAGTTTGGACCTCGTATTGTGTTCCCCTTTTCACACACGCTTTTCGAACGACGAACATTTTCATACCGTTTCGCTTAATTTGAAACGTGAAAGTAACTCTTAGTGATGTGAAAACAAAATGACTCCTATTTGGATTACTCGCAACATATCGACAACGATATCGATATTTACATTGTGATGCCTTCCTAAACGCGTTGACTGACGATTGACGAGCGAAGTGGAAATTTATTAAGCGTCGGTCGGCGAGGAGAGTGTGTATCTATTGGTATTCAAATGATTAAACGCTTTTGCAATAAAACTCTACTGCCACGGTTTTGAAAGGCCACGTGTTAGATGATTATGGAAGTATAGGGAGGATTGACGCGTCCGTTTATGGATTTTGAGATGTTTACAAAGTTTTGGTGCGAGAACTTGGGGACACGTTTTAAGGACTGGATTGAAGCCATGTCTATAAGACTTATATTTCATATATATCCACAGAGGCCACGAGCCGTTAAAATGCTTATACATTCCTTATGCACATCTTTCACAATGACCTCTATATACTGACTGTATCTTAGACAACATTGCTCAATTAAATGATTTTTATATGATGATTTATATGAGGCAGCCAAATGGCTTAGATAATATTCAGACCGCTTTTACTCGACGGTGCCACAGTAAACAGTTTAGGTTGTTAATAAAAACGAAAGGCCTTGGGTTTTCTTTCGAATTTACCCTTTCTCCAATGGTTTTATGATTTACTACGATGAATTACAAAGATTATATTTTTCTATTTGCCATTTATTATTAGTTGTCATTGCACACGTCGTGCCTACCGCAAATAAAAAAATAAGTTATAATCGTAAATAAATTTAGTTGAATCTGAACACATCTTAAGACCTGGGGAATTATGGGGAAGTAGAATTTCGGTATCTGGTTTTACTATCGCTTCCTTTCATGTGACTTCAAAAAACGAGGCGGTTCTCAGTTCGGTTGTATTTTTTTGAAGTCAAACGCTGGCCATTTTCCAGGAAAAAAAAGAAACGTTTGTTACCACAGAACTCCGTAATTTATGAAAATATTTTGGTTATGCAGTGACGTTGTTTACACAGTGAGTGGAATACCAAGTCAACATTTGAATTGTAAATCCTAGAACTCATTGACCCGATTAACTTATACGCGTTGCCACATGAAAATATATTTACGGATTTATCGCGTTTATATTTAATTTTATTTAGTTAAAAATTAGTTCAAAACGTCCCTTGCTTCATCACGTGGGCATTATTCGACATGTGGTGCACTGAGGAACGCTGCCGACGCGTGGATCAAGCTCTTGGCGATCTTTGCACAGAGACTGAGCAGTGCAAGAGTCATTCGCCGCAGAGGAGGTCTTTTACACTTATTTCAAGTTCAAGTTGGAGCGCTCCGAGTGGTGTGCAAGCGTTGGGGAACATATTTCCCATCTACATTAAACTTGCAGAGGCATTTTTCCACTTGTACACTTGTACGTACCAGTACCGCGATTGACATTTGAAAGGGGAGAACGCGTTTTTCGAACAACCTTGCGGTCTGTGGCTGAATTCAAGACGAATAAAATCATGTTTTTGAAGCTGTCTGAAGTGTGATGGCCAATCATGAATAGCTTTGGCATTTCTATTTTTATTTTATAGTGATGTCCAGAGGAATGTGAATATTTTAATGCGATCTACTTAGTTCATATTTGTCGAAGCATTGTATTACTGCTACATTTATTAAATTATTCTCGTGACTAGTTCTTAATCCATCGGTGCTCGATGGTCCGAATGATTGCATCGTAGACTGACTGATCCGTGAGTTAATTTAAGTAATCTCGTTTATCCTCGCCGTGATGTGGAAGATAACATTGTTGCGTCTCCCGCACCAGAACAGTCTGAACAGAGACACCTGGCCTACAGACAGAAATGTTTTCTTTTTTTTAGAGGAGTGCGATCCCGCGCGCTGGAACGCGGAGGCGCTCATAAGGTATACGTCCGCCAGGCCGTTCCGGGTGAGCGTCAAGAGTGTAATGTGCGTATACTGCGGCGATCTGTTCGAGGACCCGGAACAGTTCCGCACACACATGGCCAAGGAGCACGCCACTTTCAGGGCGAACATGGCGTTCGCCAAGCTCCCCAAGGCGGAATACGTGAAGGTGGACATAGCGGGGATGCGGTGCAGGCTGTGCGCTCAGCAGCACCGCACTCTGCACTCGATCGCCACGCACCTGAGGGACGCGCACGATAAGGACGTCCGACTCGACTCGCCGCTGGGCGTGATGCCCTACCACCTCGACAGGGACAACTGGGCGTGCGCCGTCTGCGGAAAGGGCGCGCCCTCCCTGCTGCACCTGAACAAGCACACCGTGACCCACTTCCTGAGCTACGTGTGCGAGGTGTGCGGCAAGAGCTACGTCGCCTCGTCGGGCCTGCTCACGCACGTGCGCTCGAAACACGAGCGCGAGTACAGCGCCCACTGCAAACGGTGCCGCGCCATATTCCCCTCGATGCGGGCGAAGCAGATCCACCAGAGGACCGCGAAGCGCTGTATGACCCACTGCTGCAGCGAGTGCCCGGAGCGCTTCCCCAGCTACAAGTGCAAGCAGCGCCACATGGCCGAGGCGCACGGGGCGAGCGCCCGCGAGCACAGCTGCGCCCGCTGCGAGCTCAGCTTCGTTCAGAGGCAGGCGTTCTACGACCACTACAGGCTCTGCCACTCGGCGGACTGCGTGGCGTGCTCGCACTGCGGCCGGCGGTTCGCGTGCGCCTCAAAGCTGAACAGGCACCTGAAGAAGCACGCCGCGTGACGCGACCGCCGCGCCCGGTACTGTCGCGGTCGACGTGCCGTCACGCTCTTGGGCAACCGCGTGATGTAACACGCGAGCGGTATCGTCGCGCTCAGGTGTACTGTCGCGGTCGACGCGGTCACGCTCTTCGTCGGCTGCTTGATGCGACATTTAACCGCTATTGTCGCGCTCAGCGGTACCGTCGTGGTCAGAGTTTTCAAGTGCGATGCTGCGACGGTGCTCTTCGTCAATCGCGTGAAGTAACACCCAACACTAGTACTGTTGCGCTCGGCAGTACTGTCGCAGTTGACAAGAGACCAAAAACAAATTATCGATATGCATAGATGTGACAGATATAGAAAAGATTTGAAGTCACAGACCGAATAAAAGTCTCCCTGAACATATGCGCGATTTTGACTGCAGCAAGAACGAGAGGGAAATACGCTTGAAACTGAAGTCCTACGACTCGTCCGATTATAATGAACAAAGCTGACTATTTGCTCGTCTCCATAATCTATTATCTACTAGCTGCTGCCCGCAAATACGTCTGCGTAGAATAGGCTGAAGGTGTAACATTCAGACAGAAAGACAGATTTACATAAAATATGTATATAAACTATAGCCTATGTGTTATTCTGATGTATAAGCTATATTATTGTAAAGTTTCATTAAAATCCTTTCGGTAGTATTTGCGTGAAAGAGTAACAAACATCCATCCATACATACAAATTTTCGCGTTTATAATATTAGTAAAGATATCACAGGACGTGCCTAATTGTAGTTCGATGGGTTGTTTAGTTTGTATGTGATTAAATTTTCTAAATGTCCAATTATTGGCTTTTTGACTACTGTCAGCATTATTTACACCCTATCTTTCCTTTGTCCACTCTAAATGGTATTAAGTATAAATTAGGGAATGGAACAAAAAAACCCAATAAAAATTTTTTTTAATAATGTATCCAGAACTGAGTGAATCTAAATGACCTTGTATCGTAGAATCCTACGATACAAGGTCATTATAATATATACAGGTCAATGGTCATTATATAATTATAACGATATTTCTGTATAATTATACATAAACATGCTTACGCTTGAAAAAATATATCCTTCCACAACCGTGAAAAAGCGTAGAACTGGTAAACGATCGGGAAGAAAGGTTCTCTAGTGGTATTGGCCATGGTAGTGTAGGACAAACCACGAAATGGAGTGTCGGCCTGTGCAAATGTGCGGGAAGTCGATGGATGCAGTTGGTTCCGAATCGTGCTGTGTTCAACAGTGGACTAGAACAGGGTAAAGTTATGAACGACATATCCTGGTAAATTATCATCAGCGCAAATTTTGAACAGTGATGAAAATTGTCTTCGCTCCTGGCTCTCCCCGAGCATGGAGCTTCCGGTTTACTGTTTGTATTAATTTTCATCATCATCATCATCATCATTTCATCCTGTTTGAGTCCACTGCGCTGAACATAGGCCTCCCCCACAGACTGCCATGAAGTACGATCCTGCGCCACCTGCATCCATCGACTTGCCGCACATTTGCACAGGTCGTCACTCCATCTAGTGGGGGGTCGTCCTACACTGCGATGGCGATTAATGTTCAAATTAATCAAATTGATATAATTGTAACCTGAAGACAGACTTTCGTTAACTTCAGTTGAGAGGAATCCACGCGTACTTGTTTGCCTTGATTGTGAGAAAAACGATGGCGGATTTCATTTGCTTTTACCACATTCTTTTTAACCGACTTCAAAAAAGAAGGAGCTTTCTCAATTCGACCGTATATTTTTTGTTAACTTCGTCGTTTATGAACCGATTTTGATGAATATTTTTTTGTTGGAAGGGGGTTATCCCAAGGGTGGTACCATGATAAGGAAACCCGGATCTGATGATGGCATCCTAAAGAAATCAAGGGCAATCCTCAAATGTTATAGTTATCAACAATGTTTTTTAGTTTCCGGTATGAAGTCTGTTTCTTTTTGTTGAAAATTATACTTGTTAATTCATATTTTTATGACTTCGAATGTAGAAACGTATAAGTTTGGACTGCGTACGATTGTTTGAATGCAATAGCTTTTTCTTTAGTTAATAACACTTTAAATAAAAAATCAAGTAATCAATAGTTTTTAGAAGCCAGTATCTTAGATTTTTATAGTTTTTATACAAAATTCGAGTAATTAGTCCTTGGAATGGCGCGATTTGATATTCATGGTTTCATTTTATGTAAAAAAAAACTGATCGTTAATTAGATTCGACTAACGCGATACCTCTTGTTGGAGGGAATTCAACATAAAATGTAGTACAATTCTTAAACAGTTGGTTAGAACAAGAGAGGAGGAATATCTTAAATTATGTATTAACACTGGTGCACTGACTAACATTAGGTCCCACTTTTACACAACGTTGTCTAATCGCAAACTAAACAACGCTTGTACTATGGGTACTAGATAACCTATAAACATATTTAAACATACTTTAACTTGGAAATAAATACATATTATACGTATAGACTATAACACTAGGTTCAGGGCACAATATTTTTCCAGCAGTGGGGATCGATCCCACACCCTTGGGCGCCTACGCAATCGGGTCATCGTCGTCGTACAGTTAAGGAATCTCAAAATCGTAGGGTCGTCTCTCATATGTGGTCCCATGAACAAGTAAGAAACTTCGTGTCATATATGATCGATGGATGGAACTGTGAGCAATGGATCGCGTCATTTGACTAATCTAGATACGGTAGTTTCTACGTAACGGGCGATAAGCCTGTCGCCAAATTTATACCTCTGAGTAACGACGCCGTTTACCATTTTGTTCAACACTAGCTACTACAAAGAACCGTTTAGTTATACGCCTTGAACACGATTTGTGGCTCGTGATTTATCTTTATTTTATTAATATATAATATATATGATAATTTTAAACGTACTACGAATGTTTTGTTAGGTGGGCTAATAAAAATTTATATGGAAAACCATCGAGTGTCTCCGTTTACACTGCAAACGTTAATATTTACATAATTTATACTTTGGTTAATATAGACGCAAATATTTGAAATATTCGTTTGACCCTGTTAGTTGTTATACAACACTACCACCTAAGGTTTTGGCGTATGATAAAATTCTGTATGAAATTACTGTGACCACGAATGGGCAGGCTTGTTCGAGGAAGCACGATGCTCTTGCTTTCGTCTGACGCCTGTGGTCATAGGGGCCCAGTGTTTTAATGGCGGAAAAGCATCTGCAATCCGTAAGGTGTTTTAGACGACCGTAGGCGGCCGTTATAACTTAACACTAAGTGAGCCACATGCTCGCTTGACTACTATACACATGAAAAAGTGCTACAGAGTTATACTTTGCGTACAGATTTATGATACGACACCAAGTGAATGTCGCTTGGCTTTCGCGTCTACACTTATGTATGAGTATCGTAATAATTTGTTGATACATAAACATGTTTTTTTTTTTTTTCATATCAAAAATAAATCAAGGGCCTCACAGTAAGTAAATGAAGGCCTTTTCTCTAATCGACCGTTTCATTTACGTAATCATGTCAATATGTTAATGTATCTAAAAGACATCAACTTTGACTTTTATGTGACCGGCTATGGTTTACGGTTTTTATGTAGGTATTGCCTTTCAGCTTTTGCGGTGGCCCTACATTTAGGAACAGTATTAAGAAACCGGCCAAGTGCGAGTCGGTCTCGCGCACGAAAGGCTCAGTCCCATAATCTATAAAAACCAAATGGTGCAATTTTAGATACCAAATCATTCACTTCTGCTCTCAGAGATCAAAATCCTGAAAGGATTTGTCTGGTATATGACATGTGTCATCGTATGCTTCTTCAGCCGGTAATATCTTTTCTATACAGTTGACCGACTAAAATGCCGACTGAATAAATGTATAACATACAATAATAAATGATGTAAATGATATTTAATGTTAAATAACGCAAGAACAACGTAAATGCGAGTTTTGCAATGGGTTTCAGCATATTGATTTTATTTTTCCCGCATTATTCAATCTTTACGAAAATAACGGTAGTCGTATTGAAATGTTTTCATTGTTGGAGTGATGGGAAAATTCAGTTTTTTCTTGTCACCTCATATAGTGGTCTGCGCTACAGACAGCTTAAATTATAAATAATACTAAATTTATTAATATGTATAGACCATAGACTGTTCTTAATACTTGTAACACTCGCGTTAGAAGTCGACCGTTAGATTTTAAATATATAAGCCATATGAGTGTTTAACGACTTGCATTCAAATTTGTACATTCGCACTGACTTCCAACCGTAACGCACTCGCATTCGAATACAAACCTAATTATTTTTAGTTGAAATTATAATAATATAACACTTTCAGCAGCGTTATTTATCTCTTCCTTGTTCTATCCGGAACAATAATAGTACGTCGTTGTAAACAAAACAAAACTGCGTCCGTACGTGACACTCGTAATTGATAAACACGCTCACAACACAGAACCGTGCATACAACTTTATACATACGAATAGTCACCAAGGCTCTTCTCTGTTTGTTCTAGAAGTCGATTGGTTACTCGAGGCAAGGAACAACGCTAAGGTAGTCTTGAAATACTCGACCGTGTACCCCTTCCGAATTCCCGGCGACTCAATGGTGTGCGTATACTGCTGCGAAAGCTTTGACGATCCCAGCGAGTACCGGACGCACCAGGCCGCGGAGCATAGCGACTTCCACGTGGACACCGCGTTCGCGCACGTATTTAACAACTACACGGAGTACCTCAAGGTCGATTGCGTGGACCTCGCCTGTAGGCTGTGTTCCAAGCGTTTCGACACGCCCAACACGATCGCCGAGCACCTTGTGGCCGCGCATGACCGCGCGATCAACCTGGACTTTGAGATCGGCATGCAAATTTTCAAGCTCGGCGCCGAGAGGTGGGTCTGCGCGATATGCCACCTCAAGCTGCCGTGTTTGCGCTCCCTCAGCCGCCACACGAGCTGCCACTATCACAAGTTCACGTGCGAGACCTGCGGCAAGTCGTACGTGAACCGGGAGAATCTGACGCGCCACATTGCATACGGGCACAGCGTGTTCAAGATCTGCATACGCTGCAAGAAGAAATTTCCCAGCTGCGAGGCGAGACGCGAACACGTTTTGGCCACTAAGGCCTGCTGGCCGTTGTGCTGCAGCCTCTGCGGCCAGAGGTTTGCCAATCGCCGCTCCAAACTCGACCACCTAGACAAGGTCCACGCGCAACCGCCGAAGACCTACACATGCCCCGAGTGCGGGGAGTCCTTCGATAAGTGGCGCATGTACCGCTCTCATTTCGTCGTAACGCACACGTCGAACAACTACGCGTGCGCATTTTGCGAGCAAAAGTTCGACAACAAGAGGGGTCTGCTCGACCATCGGATAATCCACACGAAGGAGAAGGCGTTCCCGTGCACGATCTGCACCAAGTCGTTCAGCAGGAAGAAGAATCTGATGCAGCACATGTGGATCCACAGAGAGCAAAAGCGGTTTGAGTGCACGAAGTGCAACAAGCAGTTCAACCAGCGCGTGAGCTGGAAGACTCACATGAAGTCTTACCATCCAGATCTAGTTGACTTTTGAACATCCGCCTGGATGCTAGAGTGTATGAGAACAAAGCAATATTTTTATACACATGGTCAATTATTAAAATATGTGTGTATGTTAACAGTGTGTGTGATAAGCAAGCTTAAAGTTTTCGTGTTTCATGATTTACTTTGTGTTCACTTAAATTAAGATATACAATATTTGCTATATAACAAAGCATGTATATATTTAAGTACATTAACATTATATATGCCTAACATTATAATTAACTCCGATGTCGTCCAACTCAATATCAAAAGCGACTTAAATTTATTCAGATATGATGCAGAAATTAACTTGATAAATATCAACTTTTAAAACTTCAATACGAGTCGGGCCTTGGAAAAAGCGCAGTCTGTAGTTCTAAGCACGTGCGAATGGAAAGTGGCAGCTGAATGACCAAGGGCATTTCTTTCTGTTCTAGACCTCGATCCGTATCTCATCGCGAGGCGAAACGCCGAGGTAGTCGTGAAATTTGCCACAGCGTACCCGTTCAGGCTCCCGGAGGACGCCATGGTGTGCGTGTACTGCTGCGAGAGTTACGAAGACCCGTCGGCATATAGAAAGCACATGGAAAACGAACACCAGACGTTCAAAACGCGCATGGCCTTCGTGCACTGCTCCGAGGGTTATATTAAAGTAGATTGCACCGACCTGCGCTGTCGCATCTGCTCGCAGAGCTTCGACTCCATCAATGATATCGCCGTCCACCTGAAAGATGTGCATTTCGAGAACATCGACCCCAATTACGAGATCGGCGTACATCCTTTTAAGTTGGAAAAGGACCGCCTCCTCTGCGCCATATGCCGATTGAAGTCGCCCTGCATCCGCCAGCTCAGCAGGCACATACAGTCCCACTTCCTGAAGTACACGTGCGAGGCGTGCGGCAAGTCGTACGCCACGATAACCACTCTGCGACACCACATCACATACTCGCACACGGGCGAGGAGAGGATATGCAGGAAGTGCAAGAAGACCTTCGGCAGTCTGGAAGCGAAGAGGCAGCACCTGGCCGAGTCGAGGAGTTGTTGGTCGCATCTGTGCAACGTGTGCGGCGAGCGGTTCATGACGTGGACCGCGAAACAGGCACACCTGGCAAAGGTCCACGACGCCCCTAAGCGGTCTCACATCTGCCCCGAGTGCGGCCAGGTTTTCCTGGACAGGAAGAAGTACAGGGTGCACTTTAAAATCTCCCACACTGACGACAACTACATGTGCTCCTGTTGCGGAATGAAGTTCGACACCGAGCGCAACCTCGAGGAGCATCGTCTCGTGCACACCAAAGAGAAACTATTCCCGTGCCCCGTCTGCTCGAAATGCTTCCCGAGGAAGAAGAATCTGGTGCAGCACATGTGGATACACAGCGAGCAGAAGAGGTTCAGTTGCGACCTGTGCAACAAACAGTTCAACCAGAAGGTCAGTTGGAAGTCGCACATGCGCTCCTACCACCCGGACCTGGTCGACTTGGAGACGACTAAGAACAACAACGTCAAGATCGTACTCACCGTACTCAATGCGGATCAATGAGACGGGGGGGGGGGGGGGGGCTTATTTGCATTAAATAGAGTAAGGTTCGGTTGCGACCTGTGCAACAAACGGTTTAACCAGAAGGTCAGTTGGAAAGGTCAGTTGGAAGAAGTCAGTCGTTGGAATTCGCACATGTGTTCCTAACAACCGGACCTGGTCGACTTGGAGACGACTAAGAACAACAACGTCAAGATCGTACTCACCGTACTCAATGCGGATCAATGAGACGGGGGGGCCCTTATTTGCATTACATAGAGTAAGGTTCGGTTGCGACCTGTGCAACAAACGGTTTAACCAGAAGGTCAGTTGGAATTCGCACATGCGTTCCTAACAACCGGACCTGGTCGACTTGGAGACGACTAAAAATAATAACGTACTCACCGTACTCAAAGCGGATCAATAAGACCCTTTAACGGGGACGCTTAGGTAGAGTAACCAATTAATTGTACACGAACATAAAAAAGCATTTGATAACGGTTTACATTTTATTCGATGAAAATTTGTTTGAATATCGTTATTGATTGGGATCGTCCCTCGGATTGAGATATTTTGGCTTCTGCTGAGAGCGAAAATGCGCACTTTTATTTCTTATACGTAATTACTTAAATTTCAAGTCGCTCCGCCGAAACACGGTAATATTTGTAAAACATAAATGAATCATGATATCAACCTTTTTTATAATTACTGTTAACCTTATTTTACCTTAATTACTGGTAATATACATGAGTTTTTTCTCAAACTAAAACTAAAAATATCTTTATTCGAATAGACGCTTGCGCGTTTTTATGAAACTTCGAATTTTACATAAAAATTAAAAATTAAGTTATTAAGTAAGTTCCTGTGCACATCTTCCGTGCTGCACATAATTCATTTCCTTTCGAATTGTGTAAGTTTCATTGCTCCTTCTTTTAAATTTATTACTGAAAATTATATTTGTGCTACTAATTTTTCATTTATTATCGTGTCCTAGATTGGTTTGCGAATTGTCTTCAACAGTTCGTTATATTAGGAATAGTTTTGTTTTATTTAAGATGGAGTGTATCATTGTGTTTATTTTCTGTTACGTTTCAAATGTTGTTGTCACTTAGTTTTTAATTTTATGAAAGTGCGTGCCTATTTAAAGTTTGTTTTTTCATGGGATAGGCTATGGACGAGCTCATATCATTAAATGACTATATGAAACTGTTCTGGTGTTTAAATTACGAACTTTTAATAAGTTTTACTGACCTAGTATATTTCCTAGGTATAAGTATATTTCATTCATTCATTACTTAATTACTTCATTCATTGATTCATTAGGCCCGTATTACGTAGACAGCTCAGTAAGGCTTATGGAATAGAAAGAAATATCAACTTTATTTCGATTTAGGCTAACTATTGAGGACGCCTACGCCTCATCGTCGAAACATTTACCGAATGGATCTATGTATGGATCAAGTACTTTAGAACTTATTATTAAAAAAGAAGTACACTTAAGCACACTTAAGTATACTATAGTATTAAGCAGACTTCGTAGTTGTGTTTTGGTAATATTTTCATCCACGTTAGTTTGAGTTTGTGACTTTGTCCGTGATGACGTCATTAACTGGGCACAAATATCAAATAGAACCTCTATTTGCTCATAATAAAACTGAAAACCAATAAAATCTTTATTGTTACTGGGATTGAGACCTTAACATCACCGATTTGATAATCACTTTAAGCCTGTTATTTTAAAAATTATAGATTTTTTAGAATACCATACAAAATATCGCCAATCACTTCTTATCTCTCTTTGACCTGGAATAAATACTTATAAGTCACGAAGACGTGACGAAATTTGGCCGAATATATGGCATATGCGATGATCTTTTACCTTGCGCTAAAATCAATGGCAGGTCCGTTAATCACGAGAGTTTTTTCTTTTTCTAGAAACAACTCTGGTGAGTCGCAAACAGAGGGCGAAACGGAACGCCGAAGTTGTGTTAAAGTGCTCCACCGTGTATCCCTTCAGGCTGCGTGGAAATGTTTTGCTCTGCGTCTACTGTTACGAGGAGTACGAGGAGCCGGAGATGTTCAGGCGGCACGTGGACGACGAGCACCAGTCGTTTTGCGTCTCGACTGCGTTCGCCCATTGCGGGAATGGCAACGAGTACCTCAAGGTCGACTGCACGAACTTGAGGTGCAGACTGTGCTCGCAGCCCTTCGAAACGCTGGTAGGAATCGCTGAACACATCAAGGCCCACCATCCGAACGAAAAGCTGGACACCGACTACGAAATCGGCCTCCAGCCGTACAGAATCGACAAGGACAGGTGGCACTGTTACCTGTGCGGCCTGAAACTGCCCACATTAACAAAACTGTGCCGGCACACGACCTCCCACTACCAGAAGTACACGTGCGAGTGCTGCGGCAAGAGCTACCTCTCGAACGACGCGCTGAAATACCACATACGGTGCAGCCACGCGCCTAAGCCGCAATGCAGGAAGTGCTGGCGGGAGTTCCCCACGCCGGAGATGAAGCGCGACCACCTGAGGCGCTCGAAGGCGTGCTGGCAGTTCTGCTGCGTGCACTGCGGCGAGCGGTTCATGTCGTGGGAGTGCAAGCAGAAGCATTTGGTAGCGGCACACGGCCGCCCAAAGGCTACGTACGCGTGTCCCGACTGCGGAGACACGTTCGACCAGCGGAAGACCTTCTACTGCCACTTTCGCACGAGCCACACCGACGAGAGCTACACGTGCTCGTGTTGCGGCATGAAGTGCGGCTCCAAACTCCAGTTGGACGACCACACTCTGGTGCACACGGGCGAGAAGCGCTTCGAGTGCGCTGTCTGCCGGAAGCCGTTCACGCGGAAGAAGAGCCTCACCCAGCACATGTGGATACACAGCGAGAAGAAGCGCTTCTCGTGCCCCGTCTGCGACAAGCAGTTCGCGCAGAAGGTCAGCCTCAAGGGCCACATGAAGTCGCACCATCCAGAAATCGAAATGGACTTTTGAAATTTGCCTTCAGATGTCCTCTCTTGACGTGTACCGCTCGGGTGACTAGTATTGCTTATAGTGTTGTTCTATTAGTCACCGGTGTCGTTAATTAAACACCATACTTGTCATGAGAAGTTTATTTTTTAGTGAATTCTTTTACACGAATTAAGAACCTTGTGTCCAAAAAGCATAGGGGCATTTACAGTTAAGTTGGGGTAGAACTAAAAGTTCATCTGCCACACACATAATCAATATGGAAAACGCAACGCAGCACTAAAAATGTAGTCAACCACTAAGATTATTAATAACTTGATGATCATTTGTTGTCAGGTGAAATCTTGCTCTTTAAGATATCGATAAAAAATATAATAATTTTGTGCAAAAGAGTAGGAAATACGGCGGGCGGTACAATCTTTAACTGCTTACATTGATTATGCCATATATCCACTATGCCTATGTCGCGGTCGGAAGTTGAAATAAAAATGTAACTGCGATAAAATCTCTATAGTAGATTTATTTAAATGGGTAGTTTTCATGTAACTTTAAAAATCATTAGATTAAGAGCCGTGATAGCTCTGTCCGGGCGGGCCTTTATTTCAATTTACTCTAGCAACCTGTGTTCGTTCACCGGTGTCGGCACCAATGAAGTTTTTAACTTTAAGCTGTATCTGTTTGCTGCTGACTTATTACGTGCGGTGAAGGAAAACATCGTGGAAATCTGCTTGTTTTCGAAATAATAACAAAAAAAATATTTTTCGAAGATATGTGAAGTCCGCCAATCCGCAGTGGGGTCGCGTGGTGGACTATGCCCTGATACCCTTTGTATAGAGGAGGCCTTTGCCCAGCAATGGGACATGTATAGACTTTTACTAACTTTTAACAATCATTGATTTTAACACTGGTCTTTAGAAAAGAAACTCTTAAACAATTAATATATAAAACATTTTCCCTGCCGTTCATTCTTCCATTTGATCAGAATTTGCAAGTATAGTTATATATTGTCTGCCGTCCATATTTCGACATGATACAATATGGAAATTATCAAGACATTTGTTTTATTATTCTTCTAATAACATACGATTATATATATCAGCAAAGTAATCTGAGATCGGGTGATAGTATCTACAGTTACGGAGCCATAAATACCACCGGTAACACAATATATGCCAATAAAATTTTGTTGGTAAGAAAATATCAATAGAATATTTGATGAAACTATCACTGATTGTGACGTTTCATCTGTATCAAGAATTTTAACTTTATACTAATATGACTATGTCCTGTAACGCTTCGGCTAGCAGTTAAAATATTAACAACAACAAGTTTTCTTGAAGATATATTGACATTTATACCACAATCAGGAATCAGAGGGATAATTTACTGCTTCGACAACTATGAATACAGGATTATATGGATAAAATCAAGAACACAAGAAATTGTGTGAATTGATTAACGGTAAAGTCCTGGAAGTTAAATTATGAAGTGGTTTCGGAAACTCTTGAAACTTTGGAAGTAGATAGTTCAATATATCGTAAATAATTATAAATGAATTGACTAGTATGGAATAGATGATAAATACTCAACAGGAGCAAATGTGCTGGAACAGAATAATGATACAGTTCTTTTCTTTTTTTAGGGTCCAGAAGGGAAATTGACGGATTAAAGACAGAGAGTAAACCCAAAAAGAGACTTTTCGAAAGGTCCGTCAACCAGAACCCACTGCGACAAAACGCTGTGCTACTTTTAAAGTATTCCACCGCCTTTCCCTTTAAGACGCGATTTAACAGGATCATTTGCTCGTACTGCCACGACGAGTTCGAAACGATGGCATCGCTGCGCGACCACATTAAGAGCGACCATTCGAACGCCGATTACAATAGCGCCTTCTATAAGGTTGTAGACGACCTAAAGATCGACATAACCCAGTTCAAGTGTAACCTCTGCTCGCAAGACATCCCCAACGTGGACACGTTTATGGTGCACATATCGCGCGACCACAGCGTGTCTGTCAACTTTGAGGTGCCGTTCGGCGTGCTACCGTACCGCCAGGGCCCCACCGGCCTCTGGATGTGTCTCGATTGCGACAAGACCTTTTCCGAGTTCTCCCAGATTAACGGCCACCTGCGCAGCCACGTGAAGATATTCACGTGCGATAAGTGCGGGGCTACCTTCCTCTCCGAGCACGGGCTCCGGCAGCACGAGCGCAACTTCAAATGCTACAAGGCGACGTACAAGCCCCGATTTGGCAAAGCGCTCAAGCACCGCAGCAACACCGAGATCATCCTGCAGTGCTCGACCGCGTGCCCCTTCCGCACCTGGGGTCAAAACTTCAACTGCGTCCTCTGCCGCGTGCAGTCGAACGACCCGAACGGCCTGCGGGCGCACATGGCGACCCGCCACGCGAACTTCGACGTGCAGCTGGTGTTCAGCCGCAAGCTGCGCAAGGAGTTCCTCAAGGTGGACATCAGCGACCTCCAGTGCAAGCTGTGCTTCACCCGCATCGACACGCTCGACGAGCTGATGGCCCACCTGAAGGACGACCACAAGCAGCCGATCAACCTGGACGTGCAGCCGGGCGTGCTCCCGTTCAAGCTGAACGACGGCTCGTGCTGGCGCTGCGCCATCTGCCGCACCCAGTTCTCGGACTTCGTGTCACTGAAGCGGCACACGGCCGAGCACTACCAGAACTACGTGTGCGACACGTGCGGCGAGGGCTTCATCACCGAGTCGGCGCTGGTCTCGCACGCGCGCGTCCCCCACGACAACAAGTACAACTGCAGCCGCTGCGTGGCCACGTTCACCACGCTCGAGGAGAGGAACGTCCACATCAAGAGTCAGCACACGGCGCTGCCGTACATGTGCGGCCACTGCAAGGACAAGCCCCGCTTCGGCACGTGGGAGCTGCGCAAGCGCCACCTGATGGAGTTGCATAACTACAGGCCCGGCGCCGATATGTACGAGTGCACCACCTGCCACATGACCTTCAAGACCCGCTCGCAGAAGTACCATCACAACGTGAAGGCGCACCGCACGAAGAAGGAGTCCGAATACGGCCATCCGTGCGTGCAGTGTTCGCGGGCGTTCGCCTCGAAGCTCTCCCTGGACAAGCACATTGCGAAGAAGCACTTCCACGTGTTATAGTGAATGAGAATGCATCCACCGAACGTTGTCGGTCGAACACAGCATTTCCGAGATTGCGGGGCTCTTTCGGGGTTTTAAATTCTTGACGTCATTTGTTGATGGAATTCCAGCATGTTCACGAAATGTCGGGAGTTTTAAATCAAACTTGATAACGCATTAATACCAGTGGAATTGTTTCATCTAATCACTTACAGTATTCGCGTAAGAACAGCAAGTCAATGCATCTTTGATTGGTCTCATCTTTATACTTCGATGTAATTTTACGGGGTTGCGTAAGATGGATACTGATTTTTCGTTCATCCCGCTTACAACATTGGATACCGAAATCTCCTTTAATATGGATAGGCTAGCCAGGCTAGATTAAGTTGAATTTCTAGAACGCTTTTAAGTGCAACTATAGTTCGCCTCGGCTCTATTACCTATGTGCATTTATATTAACATTAAGGATGAACTATGTCACCATGGTGAAATAGTATTATTTGTATATTTCTGTCCGGCAAGAACCCGTAACGATAAGTTTGTATTAAATAAATTATTTTGAAAAGGAATCTTTTTCTCCTTTACATAATTTGTTGTGGTTTAAATAAAAACCGGAAAAAGTTATTAAAAACCCACATATAACCCACATAATCTAGGCGTATTAGAATTCTTATACCTCAATGGAAAATTTTCTAAGCTTGAAGCAAAAGTTGGACCTGTTTCGATTTAGCAATATTTATGATTAATAAGTTGCCCAAACGACATTCAAATGAAATATTCATAACTGGATTATAATATAAGCATTTAAAATAGATAAGGAGACTTGTTTGTTTTCGCCTTTGCACTTAAGCCTAAAGCAATTTAAAGCGGTACGTTTTTTGAAGGACATTTATAGAGGTTTTAAAGTTCCATAGTAGCGGCAATATCTGTTTTATTTCCGATTATCTTCCTAATGTGTTTTTGAAAGCACTTCTAAATTGATTATTGCGACGTTAAACAACACTGCAAAGTATTGACTCCGTGCCGCAGTTGCCAGGATATAGGCTTCGGCACTTGGGGCGTGGGTTCGATACCCGAACGGGACAGATATTTGTGTGACTCACAGATAGTTCTTCCGATTCTGGGTATTTGTCCACGTGAAATTTTTGTTTATAAAACGTATTTACAACACTGGATAATATTATCCTACAAATGATGGACAGTCCTTGCAGTAGTAGGATAACATTATTGCACATTTGTGCTTAAAAAAAGCGGAACGGAAGCGAAGTTGACTTTTAATAAATTTTTAATTAAATAATTAATTGATTCCACTCGATGTTTGTCATGGTATTTAACATTATTTATGTTTTAATTGAGTTAGAATTTCTTACGCCGCAATCGCTGAACGGATATGGATGTGATTTAGAACTCCGACAGCCTTATAGCCTTTAACACGGAGGATAATTTATAAGTACCTGGAGGACCGAGCTTTGCTCGGTTTGTTTTTTTTTTTTTTTAAATCGTGTATTTTGGAAATTACATTTAGATACAAATTACTGAGTAATGAAATATGTATAATATTTTTCGATCTTACCGACGTAATAATAAGAAAATATGAACTGGTGTTTTCCACAAAAGAAAGAACAAAAAAGGGAAAAAAATAACAAAATAACAAATCGACAAAAAATAAAAAATAAAGAAAGCAATGATCTGGAATCGAAAAAAAAGTAAAAAAATAAGTATGTGAATGGCCGTGATACGAACCGCGGCCGTCTGTTTTGGGGCCGCCCGATTACCGACCGAGCAATTATAAAATTAATTTTTGCGGCGAAATTTACCGTCATATTAAAATGATATTTCCTGAAAATAGCTGGAGCCGTTTCCGAGATTCCGATTATATATTTATATATAAATATCTTAAGATAAGATTAAGTTATTTCGAAGAGACTTGCGGGCTAAGCAGTGTAAAAACTTTGAGTACGATTACTTGATAGTTACTTACTAATATTATATTTTTTTGTGTACCTGTATTTTTAATTATTAAAATTTTATTATTTTTACTGTGGTAGGGCCACGCAACAGCTTTTGCTGTTGCACGAATGGGCAAGCTAGTCCGGTGTATCACGGCCTCACAGATGACCAACGTGAAATGGAAGTATATAATAGTTTCGCGTTTCGTTTAGTGAGGAAGGTTATCGGGGCCTACTTTTTTTAAAGGGTAAATGCATCTGAAAATCCTCAGGTGTTTTAGATGTCCATGAGCGGCGGTACGTAATCACTTAACATCAGGTGACCTACTTCCTTGACAACTTTTCACATTAAAAAAATCACACTGATCAATATTTTCTTCGTACAATTACGTACCCCCAATGAATTTAATAAATACCGTATATTGAATAAATACCCGTAATGAATTGAAATAATTACCAATCATATTTAGAGTGCAACAAAACATCAAATTAGGCTTTAATTTAACGCTCTGTAAGGGTTTTTAAATCTGATTATTAAGAATAAATCACGATTTCATTCAGAGTTTGATATAAAAAAACATATACGATCGCGCACCATCACAAATTACGTGAATATATATCTCCCTCGGGGAATGCTCTCCTTATGTGAACAGTTGAAGACAAAAAGTACGGTCAGATTAAAGTATAGGCGATTAAAACGAGACGCGGCAGCATATTTATTACGAGCAGCGCACCACGAACGCACCAACCTCAATTGCACTTTTCTATTTTTAGGATGTCAAGGACAAATGGGAAACGAAAGTGAAATCGTAAAGGCTGAAAACGCAATCTTAGGAGGTACTGACGAAACCAAGGAGAAGCGACGTTACGTAAGAAGCGCTCGCGCCGAGGCTAGGATCGCGACGAAGAGAAACGCCAGCTCGCTGCTGGAGTGCTGGTCGTTCTGTCCGTTCAGGTGGCAGAAGAATAGGTTCAAGTGCGCCTTCTGCGAAGAGAGCTTTATCCAGTGCGTCGATTTGAGGGCCCACGTCGGTCAGTGCTCACTGAAACACACCGTCAAGGACATATACAGCAAGTTCAAAGAGATGTCCCTTATCAACGTCGACGTCACCGAGGCGGCGTGCCGCCTTTGCGGGTGCCCCTACACCGGTATCACTCACATGCGCCAGCACGCCACCCAGCACGGCTACGAACTGGATGCGACACGCCCCGACGGCATCCTGCCCTTCAGCTTGGACAAGAGTGCTGGCGCTGCGTCATCTGCCGCGAGCGCTTCAACAACTTCCTGAAGCTCTACGAGCACATGAACGTCCACTACCAGCACCACATCTGCCCCACCTGCGGCAAGGGCTACATGACCGCGCCGCGCCTGCGGAAGCACACGGAGGTGCACGTGACAGGGACTTTCCCGTGCGACAAATGCGCCAGGGCGTTCGGCACGCGCGCCGCCCGCGACCACCACAAGGCTAGAGCGCACGCCAAGGGCCCCCGCTACGAGTGCCCCCACTGCAGCCTCCGCTTCAAGGGCTACTACGAGCGCATGAGCCACATGGACGAGGCGCACCGCGAGAAGCCGGTCACGTACCGCTGCGGCGTGTGCGATCTCGGCTTCAAGACCAGCGGCAAGCGGGCGAGCCACGTGCGCACGGTGCACCTGCAAAGGCCACGCAGCCACGCGTGCCCCCGTTGCGACTGGCTGTTCCGCACTGGCTACGAGCTGAAGCGGCACATGGTGAGGCACACGGGCGAGAGGCGGTTCGCGTGCGCGGCGTGCGGCAAGTGCTACCCGCGGAACCGCGCACTGAGGGCCCACCAGCGCACGCACGAGGAGCTCGCTTGCAAGTGCTGCGGAACGGTTTTCAAGCAGCGAGCCCAGATGCTCGCCCACGCCCGCTTCCAGCGTCCCGATCTGGGGCCGCTGTGCGTCGCCGCGGATAAGGTGGCGTGCTGAGTGCCCGCCTATAGTGATACGCTGAGGGTAAACGTCGTAATGTCCATTTGGTCATTCGTGGTTGTCGCATCTTGGACGTTCAGTGACAGTGATGGATTCGTTGGATCTCGATTTTAGTGTATACGTATCTCCGATCTCGACTTTGACAGCGGCAATTGAAGGTTACATCACTGGCCGGATTCCGTCGTTCCATTTCGATACGCGGGCGTCTTGATTTACTCGGTTCGTAATACCGATCATACACATAAACAATCTTTGTGTTAAAATAAACTGTACATTGAATGAATGCATTGATAAATTATTGTAATATCCAACCCATAACTCGAGTAAATGCTAATGAGAGTCGTTATGTATGCTTGTCCTTGTCATTATTTTTATATATGTCGGTTTTATTCTAATTAACTAGATAATATCAAACATTCTCTGATCGCAAAATAACTCAATCGTCGTGTGAGATCGTTTTGTTGTTCACTTTATTTACATAAATCCACCATCGAATAACCGGTCTGATTAATTTTTAAAAACCTCGTCAAAATATTTATATACGTTTTCAAATTCTTATTTATAAATCGACCTTTAAATGACTGACCTGTAGTCGCTTACTTTCGATAAAATTGTTGTCAGTATCGATATTTTTTTTAGAAAACTTGAACCCACAATGCATTTACCCAGTATCGGCGATCAGCGTACCTCACATTATCCAACCGACTTCAAAACCACGAGGGAAGGGTTCTCAATTCGGTTGTATTGTTTAAATGTTTTTTTTTTAGCTCAAAACGTTTAAGCTCCAATATATAAAAACACTTTTTATTAGATTCGGTTTAGCTTCATTGTTAATTTCATGTGTCCCATATTAATTTCGCCACAGAGCTCGCGTGCCCTTGGGGAGGCCTATGTCTAGTAGTGGAGTGCAGAAGGCCGATTGGAATTGGATTAATTCCATTGGTCCTTGACCTTGGACTCCGGATGTATATCAGGCAACTCTCCAAAGTCTAGCGGAAAATGTATTTTGTGATGTTTGAAGTAGGTTTTGTTTTAAAAAAGGATTTGTCTTCTTGTACAATCCCCGCGGCCGAACAAAGAGATTACCATTTCATTCGTGCGTAAAGCAATGGAATCGAAAATACTTTCAGGCTCAGTTTTGAGTAACAATGAACTGATTGAGTCAATTCCTTGCACCGACCACAATGTCTCTTTCGTACTGAGGCCCTACGCCCTTTGTCAATAAAAAATTTTGTAAATAAAAATAAAATATAAATAGAAAAATAATATTATAAGAAATGATAGTGTCTTCAAGAGAATATTGACTACTAAGCTTAGTTTCTCTGCAATTAGGTAATGATTGTAAAATAGGAGAGTACTACGAGTAGACTGTTTGTTTTCACCGTATACGTTCATATAAATTCAAAGTAATAAGTCGAGTTTAAAAAAATAAACAAAACAAATGGTATGTTGTATACCTGTACTTGTAGTTTAACTTCTACTAAACAAAAAAAAAATTAAAATTTTTGGTACAAATATTACAATTCCTCGCTAAAATGAAAATTTTCCTATAGTATGTACACATACTTAGTACAGTTCGAGAAATCGTATGTGTTCTACCGCGAAATCGTAGGCTATAACGGCATCTTCGTCTAAACTCTCCCGTTGATCAGTTAAATGTCGATCACTTCGATTAATTTTATCTAACACCTGTGAGATTGTATTAACATTCCAAATTTCTAAGGGGTTATTAAACATTGTGACACTGTGAGCGGACTCTGTCTCGGGTGCTGCCCTTAATCGATTAACACCAAGTAATATCGAATCGTTCTGTTTTTAGGTACCGCTACCGCGGATGCGGTGCCAAAGATCAAAGTGCGCGTTAGGAGGTTGAAAGAGAACGTAAGCGAGCGTCAAATGCGGAGACGTCGGCGCGCTAACAACCAGCTCTCCGAGGAGTCGGAGCGGCGGCTCGCGAAAACAATGATGCGGAGGAACGCGATGACCCTTCTAGAATGTTCCACCGCGTGGGCCTTTCGATGGTTCCACAGCGCGTTCTACTGCTCTTATTGCGATGCGAAGTTCATCGACCCGAGTCCGTTGCGCGACCACGTTGTCTCCTCGCACCTGACCGACCCGCCCACCAATCGGGTGTTCTCAAAGCTGACAGAGAATAACATGCTCAAGGTTGATGTGACTGACTTGCGTTGCCGGCTGTGCGGCTGTCGCTGCGCCACCCTCGAGGGCCTCAAAGATCATTTGGATGCCGCGCATAGAACCACTCTCAGTGGGGAGCACAGCGACGGAGTATTACCGTTCAAACTGGAGCAGAACGGTTTCCATTGCCAGATATGCTTCGAGCACCATCCCAGTTTCGCCAAAATCAACGAGCATATGAACGCCCACTACCAGAACTACATTTGCGACGCATGCGGAAAGGCGTTCGTATCCAAGTCCAGGTTCAGGTCGCACGTGCAATCGCACGAGATCGGTAGCTTCCCGTGCGGGATATGCGACGAGGTGCTGCAAACGCGCGCGGCTCGAATGTGCCACAGACTGAAGGTGCACAGGAAAGGGGTGCGTTACACCTGTCCCCGATGCCCCGAAGTTTTCACCACGTATTATGCGCGGGCGAAACACTTGGTCGAGGGTCATGCACAAAAAAGACGAGATTACGACTGCACAGTATGCGGAACAACTTTTGACACCAGTTGCAAACGAGCTGCGCACTTTCGCGCCGCTCATAGGCCTACTGAGCGGCGCTACGCGTGCCTCCACTGTCCGTGGCATTCCGTCAGCAGGTCGAAACTGAAACGCCATCTGCAACAGCACGTCGATCGCCCCGAGCCGCCGCATCACCGCGAACAGTACAAACGTGACCTTTGTTATTTTTAGGTGTGGATGGAATCGACTCTCCGCGTGCGCCCGATGACGGGGTCAAAGTAAAATGGAGGAGGACGCGTCGGTTGAGTGGCGAAAAGGCTAACGCGGCGCTCTTCCTTGAGCACTCGAACGCCGTTGCGTTCAGGTGGCAGCGGGGCAGGTTTATGTGCGCCTATTGTCCGCGCTCGTATCCCAGCGTGCACGATATACGCCAGCATTCATCCGAGCACGGCCACAAGCTGGACGTGTTTATAAATCGGCAAGTGCGCAACACGTTTCCTTTGCGCGTCGACGTCACGAACCTGGCATGCGCCGTTTGTGGCGAGAAGTCCCAGAGCGTCGAAGAGCTGAAGATGCATCTCACAGACAGTCACGCCAAAGTTTTCCGCTCTGATTGTGGTGACGGTGTCGTCCCTTTCGCTTTGACAGGCAAGGGTTTCAAGTGCGCACTATGTGGCGCGCCGTTTGAGAGCTTCCTGAGGCTCCACGTGCACATGAACGGGCACTATCAGAGCTTCGTGTGCCCTGTTTGCGGGAAAAGCTTTTCGGGCAGGCACAAGCTGCGCGCTCACCAGAAATGCCACGACCTGGGAGAGTTTGCGTGCGCCAAATGTGGCAGTACCTTTACAGACCGCTTGGCTAGAAACAGGCACTTTGCGGTGGCGCACGGTACTCACCAACGCTACCGCTGTCCCATTTGCAGCGAGCATTTCGATTCATACCACTCCCGTTTGAGGCATCTGGATCGAGAGCATGGGCAGCGAGCCGAGTACAAGTGTCGCCTGTGCTCGTCCGTGTTTGGAAGCGGTGCCCTTAGGAACTCACATGAGAGGGTCGTCCACAAATCGAAGAGTAACGCCAAATGATACAGTCTGACGTGAAGCAGCGATGTTCTAACCTATCTCTGTTAATTCTCTGCTCCAAATAAAATATTTACGCACTTTTATTTTTCTTCTATTTATTTTGATGTAAGGATACCATATATAATAAAGAACGTAAGCCGATACACGACTCATTTAACTAAAAATATATAACACAGGGGAAAGCATATTGTTCAAAATGTTACACTTCAAACTCGAGGTTAGTAATTTACTTATAGCTTAATTAGAAGGGATTTTTTTTAAAGGAAGGAAATGTACACAAATACAAAAACGCGCGGGCGGAGGGACAGTCGTTTTACTACCCTAACTAACACTGTTGATGCCCTATTGACTGCGGCATAGCTCAAGTACATCTAAAGGTAGATAAACAAATATCCATATCTTATTTCGCAATATAAAATATAGTGTATTTTGTTACAACAGGAAAATCGTATTTAAAATAGGAAATACCATCTTAGTCATCGGCATAGAACGTACAGTGCGGCATTTGACAGTATATTTTCTTTTGTTTTTAGGGCCCACGGATAACAGTGTTAAGTGGAAACCGAGACGGAAGTTTAACGATCACAGGGATAACGCCGCCATAATCATTGAGTGTTCGAACGCATGCCCGTTTAGGTTGAAGCGCGGCGAGTTCGTGTGCGCCATCTGCCCCGCCTCGTTCGGGGACTTTGCAGGTGTGAGGGAGCACACCGAAGGCCATCAGAATAGGCTTGAGGCTGTACGCTGGGCGCGTCCCTTCGACTCTGTCAAGGCGGATATCAACCAGCTCCAGTGCAAGCTTTGCTCGCGCGCTGTTACCGATTTGGATCAGCTCGCTGACCACCTGATAACGGCTCACAACAAACCTTTGCTGAAGCAACACAGTCTTGGCATCACCCCGTTCAACCTATGTGGCAGCGTGTACTCGTGTTCGATCTGCGGCGAGCGCTTTGACCTCTTCACCAATCTCAACACTCACATGAACCAGCACTACAAGAACAACGTTTGCTTCAAGTGCGGTAAGACGTTCGCGGCACCGCGACGTCTCCAGGCGCACATGGTCACCCACGACGTAATGGACGGCGGTTATAGATGCCAAAAGTGCGGCGATACCTTTCTCAACCGCAAACTGAGGAGCAACCACGTTACATACGTGCACGGCCCGAAGCTCAAGTACCGGTGCCCCTACTGCAAGACCATGTTTAAGGGCTACGGAGACAGGACCAAACACCTTAACGAAGTGCACGATAGGAAGGTGGAGTATCCCTGCCACTTGTGCACTGCTGTCTTCGTGATGTGCAACCAGAGGACGAAGCACATACAACAGGTGCATGTTAAAGACAAGCCATTCGAATGCGAGCACTGTCCTTTCAAGTCATCCACCGCCGCCAGGCTGCGCAGCCACATGGTAAAGCACGTAGGTGTCAGAAAGTATCAATGCGACATATGCAAAAAGGCATACTGCCGCATGAAGACTCTGCGCGAGCACATGCGCATTCACAACAACGATAAACGCTTTATCTGCCAGCATTGTGATGCGGCGTTTGTGCAGAAGTGTAGTCTGCAGAGCCACACGCGAACACACCACCCCACGGCGTTAGCTCCCAACAAGCTGAAAGACCTCGACCTCACTGTTTTCCAATAAAAATTGCGACTGATACAATAGTTCGATTTATTTCTATGTCCCATCTCCGAGTAAAGTTAGAATTGCATTAATGCATCCTAAAAAACGAAATGAGAATAACTTATCAAAAAAGAAGAGCTCATATCGGATATTTTCTTATTTTTAGGAAGAAAATCGGAAGAGATACTTGTTAAAACTGAAGTGGGATCCGACACGGAGAATACGGCCGCGGCCGTCCTTGCCTCTGCCCGAGACGCGGGCAACGAGAGGCGAGCCGCCTTCCGCGATAACATTCGGATTATAATGGAAACGTGCACCGCCTGCCCATTCAAATACAGGAAGGGCGCGTACCTGTGTTTCTTCTGCAAAACTTCCTTCCTGGAGCCGGAGCGATTGCGCGACCATACGCGGCTCCAACACTCTGACGTGAAACAGCTGAAGCCGCGAAAGTATGAGCCGTTAAAGATGGACTTCGCGCTGGCCGCGTGCAAACTTTGTGGCGCGTCCGTTACAGACTACGAAACCCTCAAGACACACTTGAGTGAACACGGCAAACCTTTGGACTGCTCCCACGGCGACAGTGTTCTGCCATACAGCCTGACTAGAGATGCGCACCGCTGCCAAATATGCGGCGGCTGCTACGAGACCTTCTTGACTCTGCACAAGCACATGAACGAGCATTTCGAACGCTTCATATGCGAGACGTGCGGCAAGCGCTTCGCCACATCGCAGCGAATGGTGAACCACGCCCGTACGCACGAGCGCGGCGCGTTCCCTTGCAAACGCTGCGGCGACACGCTACCCTCGCACGCGGCTCTCTACGCGCACGTCGCACGCGCCCATCGTGCCAACAAGCGCTACAAGTGTCCCGTCTGCGACGAGAAGTTCGCCTCGTACAAGCACCGCCTGAAACACCTCGCCGCCCACGGAGTGCGCACCGCCCTCTTCCCCTGCCCCTCTTGCCCGCGCGTCTTCGATCTGTGCAGCAGACGAACCGCCCACGTTCGCTTCCAGCACCTGCAAGAGCGCAACCACTCGTGCCCCCTGTGCTACATGAAGTTCTTCACCCGCTACGAGCTACGCGAGCATTCGGTGAAGCACGGTGGCGAAAGGATATACCAGTGCGACGTCTGCAAGAAGTCGTACGCGCGCCTGAAGACGTTGAGGGAGCACATGCGGATACACAACAACGACAGGCGCTTCGCGTGCCAGGTGTGCGGGCAGGCGTTCGTGCAGAACTGCAGCCTGAAGCAGCATCTGAGGGTGCACCACCCGAGCTAGGGAAAGGGCGGCGTGTTTTGATGGCGTTTGCAACGAGGCGATACATTGCGCGGTGCTGTTACAGCTGCGTGGAAGCCAAGCTGAGTGTGTCGCGCAATGTATGGGAGCGTACGTTTACGCTGGTCCTTGTAGCCGGATAAACGGCGCTTCCCAAAGTCTCTTAGTTCGACAATTGCTTATGGATAAGTGCCGTAAAGAACGACGATAAGGAAGTTATGTTTAAAGTATCAATGAGAATTTCTTTCGATGTTTATTAAATTATCTACAAAAAAAAAGCTATTAAATTACATGCTATATGTTAATAGAAGCAAACTAATATTAAATAGCTTTTAATCTGATCTCATGTCTATCTAAAAATAAGTATGAAAATATTACCTAAAGTACGTATGTTTAATATGTAAGGAGAACGGTTTCGGAAACGTTTTCGCCGCTTAGGATAGTGGGAATTCTATTCAGTCAATTGGCAAGAGTAACATCTGCTGTACCATTCGACCACTGGCTGGATAATACAAGATTTTATTATAACCACACATTTGTATATTAAAAGGATTTTTATCGACAATGATTAAAGAATTTCGTCGAACAAAAACACCGCTTTCATTTCGTTTATTTTTTGGCTCACTGTGGTTGTTAGAGGTCTGATGTCTTTACAGTGTGACTTAGATTCGATACTCGTACATGCTAATTATTCCTATGAACATTGATGAATCTTATATATAAAAATGGATTGCTGTTCGTTAGTCTCGCTAAAACTCTAGAACGGCTTGATCGATTTGGCTAATTTTGGTTTTTAAATATTTGTGGCAGTCCAGGGAAGGTTTAAGTTTAAACGATGAGAAATTATGGAAAATTTACAAAAATCGAGATAGCAACAATTTCATTTTCCCATACAAACTGTACCTGTCAACTATGTCTGTGTAATATGTCAAAAACTTTATATCAGCCGCTTACAACTTTTAGGGCCCACTACAGTGTTCGTCTAACTCTACACGCAACACGAAGTGCTCCAGTCGTTGCCGACGGAATAGGGGAAAACACCATTATGCAGGTGTTATACACACTAATGAGACACAATGGACTAACACCAAGTAACGGAAATTATTTATTACTAGCTGGCCCCGTAAACGTTGTTTTGCCATATAAATTATTTGTAGAGGAATCCGAACACACGCAGGACCCGACCGTCCGTCGGCTCAGTTGCCTACATTATTCACTTTTTACGTATATGTTAGCTCTATTCTATGAACCGCATTCTAGAAGGCTGTAATTAATGTTGTCTGTTATCTGTAATATTATGGGTGTTAGAAAATGTGTTTCCGTGGATCAAAATAAATATGCAGCTCTGCTTTCATGATTGGTTTATTCTGTTTAACTTACATTATTTAACACTTTATACTAGGTTTCACATAATACTACTTAATTACAATAATCAACTTAATCATCTTCAAATCACAACTACACCATCTTGACCAATTACACAGAGTAGAGAGTTTTGTCTATGCAGTCACAGAGTAACTAAAACAATAGCAATGTTACAAGGTACAAAATCATATTTTCAACAATGGGATTAATTTTTTATTTATTCTTAAAAATAGTTATATTATTTAAATAAGAAGTACCTGGAGGACTTTTTGGTTTGTTTTTTTTTTGTTGGTAAATCGTGTATTTTGGAAATTATATTTAGATACAAATTACTGAATAATGAAATATGCCTAATATTTTTAGATCTTACCGACGTAATGATACGAAAATATGAACGGATGTTTTTCACAAAAGAAACAAATTAAAAAAAAAAAAAGGAAAAAAATAACAAATCGACAAAAAATTAACAATAAAGAAAGCAATGATCTGGATTCGAAAAAAAAGTAAAAAAGTGTGTAAACGATCGTGATACGAACCACGGCCTTCTGTTTCGTGGCCGCCCGATTACCGATCGAGCTATTATAACATTTTTTTCTCGGTGGTTTTACGAAGAAAAGAAAGACCAGGGTGATTTTTAAAGTCATTATCGTCAACAATTAATTGATTTTCCTAAAAGTTTATTCATAACTTTTAACGAATCGCTTGTTAATCTTTTTTTTTTTTTATTTCTTTATGTTTAAGGGACTTTTGCGTAATATGCATGTCAGTCCCATCGTGCCCTCCTCTTATGTTATACAACTTTGACTTATTACTAATACTTATTTTAAAGTTTTAGCCATAAACTCATACAGTAGATTTGCATTTTCACTATTTGGATGGCATAACAAAGAATGAAAAAGGCCAACATTGTATTTGCTTAAATTCATGTCTCTTAACAAGTTATTCCTATTGGACTCATTTCTAACACATTCCATCAACTGGTGATGAAGGTATTCAGTCACTCCACATTCCTCACAATTTGGTCAATTAATTTTCTTCATAAGGAAGACCAAATTGTTACATGGAATGTGTCCAGATCTGAGTCTAAGAACTGTACATACTAGTTTCCTACACAAATTAGTATTTATGAACCACGGTACCCGACAGGGCTGGCACTGAATTGTTTTATACCATATACCCTTATCTAAAGACCGTTTATCAAAATATTCCTTCCAAAGATCATAGCAAACATTTTTGAATTTGGGCAAAAATTCTGTGTAGTCTGGAATAAAATTGGGTTTATTTCCATACTTAACTGCAAACTTGGCTAGCTTGTCAGCCTTTTCGTTACCCCCTAAACCAACGTGCGATGGAACCCATTGCAATCTCAGTTGGATACCCTTCAAACTCAACACATCTATCTTATGTAAAATTTCATAAGCTATCGATGCACCTCTGTGTCCAGTGGTGCATCGAGCTATATGGTGCAAGGAACTCTTGCTGTCAGTGCATATTACAATATTTTTGTAATCATTGTTATTAATTACATATGACAAAGCCTCAGAGATTGCAATAAGTTCCAGCGTCATAATACATATATTTTCACTTATTTTAAAACAATGATAGTTTTGATTGTATCTAATATCTAGACTAGGCACATAGAATGCACACCCATGACCTTCTACACTCTTCGACCCATCTGTAAATATAAAAAACCAGCCATTATATTTAATTTTCAGTTCTCTTATAACTTCATTCCTTAATAAATTTCTATCATATGTATTTTTAGAGTTTTTTAATGTTTCCAAATTTGATAAAATAACTTTATTTATATTAATATTAGTTACCCATGTTCTTGTTAATCTTGCTTTTATCCGTGTATGAGTCCACGAATTTATTTGCAATTTGATACCTATGGTTGGTTTAGACACAGATAATAGATCAAAAGTATAGTATCCACCGTAAAAGTTATTAAAATACCAAATTACACCGAAACCTATTCAAACCCATGGATGTTATATCTAGATATTAATAAGAGAAGAAACGGCACTTTCAATATATTGCGCGCAAGGACCAATGTGAGGTTTGCCATAGTTAGAATTTTGATTGAAAAGGAATGCAGAACACTAATATTTGCACTTTCATATGTCAAAAATTAGAAAATTTTGTTAAAGGTTAGAATGTCAAATTGTTGAAACACTTTCGAAGACCAAATATGATGAATTGGTTTTCAAACACCAGAAGATGCCAATGTTGCCTGATAGTACGTAAAACTCTTAGTCATTTCCATGATCATGATTAGTGCAAAGTATACAAAACGAATATTCATCCCAAATATAAAATTTTTCAAGGCCAAGGGGCTACTTGTAATAAATATCTACTTATTTAGATAATGTGTAAAAACAAGGTGCTAATTGGGGATATGGTTGTAGGAGCGCTGCGTGTTTTCTTAATTTGTAGTCGTAAAATGTCTCTAAAACTCGGCTATCTTACCATACAGTTCAAGATAAGAAAAGAAAATGAGAAAATATTAATGCATTATATATTAACCGATATTTTCGCTAAGGGCTAAATGATTTCTTAATATTTAGTTGAAGGATTTCTCAGAGAAAACATAGTGCCTGAGCGGCGTTTTGAATAGCAACCAATTGGTGTCTCATTTATGTTAAGTAAAAATTATAATGCATTGCATGCGATATGCGGACTCGTGGCGTTCATGCACTTATGTTTTCTCGTTTATAGGTAGTGATAAAGCGCCCATCGAGGAACAAAATGGCGCGAAAACAAAACAACAGTCGGCGGTAACGAAAACGGCAACGAGCGCGTTGAACGACAACGATACTATAGCCGCTCGCAGAAGGAACGCTACATTGATTCTGGAATGTTCGAAGATATGCCCGTTCCGATGGACGAAGAACTTGTACATCTGCTTCTACTGCGACCAGCAGTTCTCCGATCCGGCGATTCTGAGGGATCACAATGCGCTTGACCATGCGGCCCCGTCGCCGGTGCAGATAAAGTGCGAGCTCTCGAAGCAGAAGAAGCACGAGCTGATCAAAGTGGATGTGACCGACGTCAGCTGCAGGCTATGCAGCGAGCCTTGCCGCGAACTAGCCACTCTCAAGGGTCATTTGGTGCAGGCGCACGGGAAGCAAATCGACCCCGGATCTGGGGACGGCCTCCTCCCCTTCAAGGTGGCGAGGGACAGCTACCAGTGCGCCCTCTGCCAGCAGCGGCACGACGAGTTCAAATCCCTCAACCACCATATGAACGTGCACTTCCAGCACTTCATCTGCGAGCAGTGCGGCGCCGGATTCATCACGCCCGACCGCCTGAGGACCCACTCGCAGTCGCACGGCACCGGCGCCCACCCGTGCGACGGCTGCGACAAGGTGTTCCGCTCGACCGTCGCCAAGAACGAGCACTACGCGACCGTCCACAGGCGGGTGAAGCGTCACCGCTGCCCGCACTGCGCGGAGGCATTCCGCAACTACTTCCAGCGAAACAAGCACGTGGCCTCCGTCCACGGGCTAAAACTCAAGGAATTCAGGTGCAGCCTCTGCCCCAAAGTGTTCACGCTCAGCGGGAAGCTCGGCGTTCACGTGCGCACCGTCCACCTGAAAGTTAAACGGCACTCGTGCGACGTGTGCGAATGGAAGTTCTACTCGAGGTCGGAGCTGAGGGAGCACATGGTGCGGCACGGCGGCGAGAGGAAGTTCCAGTGCGCCGTTTGCCGCAAGTCGTACGCGCGCAAGTACACGCTGCGCGAGCACATGCGCATCCACGAGAACGACAGACGCTTCGTCTGTCAGGTGTGCGGCCGCTCCTTCGTGCAGAACTGCAGCCTGAAGCACCACGCCAGGGTCCACCACCCGGCCGCAGCGAAGGCGGACGCCCCATTTCGGGAATCGATCTCCTGATGCGGCTAGTAAATTTGATCTTAGGACTGTTTATCTCATTCCCCATGGCCGTCGAAGACTATGAGTGCCCTTATGTCGTTCGTATTTGATTTGATCTCACTCTTCTCTATATCACCATTGGACCTGCAGAAACGATAAAATGAGTTGTCACTTGTCTTACTTGCATTAGTGGAATTTCAGGACATTTTCGGTCCCTTGGAAGATTGACGGCGTGAAATTATTTTAGAGATTTGTGAAATTATCGTAATTCGATTTCTATGAGTAACTTTGGCCAGAGGTGCAGACCTCATAAATCTGTGCACTTTGGTACATCTCATGGAACAAAGAAACTAATAAAAATAAAGAACTGAATTCGTACAGCTTTATTAAAATGTAATAAATTTAACACTGTCTTGTAAACTAAACAAGAAGTTTTTCTACTATAAAAATGTGTTTCATTTATATCGGAATTAAATTACGTAAGGCTTATAACCTGTGTTTTTAGAAGTGAAACTTCTAATGCCACATCGTTGACGTTAAACGACTGCGTTAAACCTTTGACGCTAGCATGGAGGGGGTTTGAAAGCACTGTTGCGTTAAACGTTCAACGATCCTGAGGAGGGGGAATAGAAAGAGACCGAGCGAGAGTGAATGCGTGGCACTCGAACGCATGCACGTAGTATACCTGTTACAGCATACCTGCGCGAGCATTAGCAACGAGTAGTGTCCAATATTCCAACGCAAGAGGGAGAGAGAAAGAAAGATACAGAAAGGCAGAAAGTAGGAGAGAGAAAGAGAGTAAGTCGGTAGATCCCAAGCACATGCGCGTCGTATTCTTGCTAAGTTAAGTAAAGTAGCTATACTTACCGAAGTAAACAGTGTGAGCATCGTAAAATTAGCTGAGATACGTACTTAGTTTCCTATTTTCATTTATAATATTCATTATTTCATTTACTGGTTTTTTGGTTTGATTTGATACACATAATTTAATAGGGCAGTATTTTTTATTTTCAAATTTTGTGGATAAAAATTGCAACAAATGAGTGAAAAAATCCCACGTACAAGGTTATGTCAAGGTACGTCTCTTGTGAATACCAATTGATTATTAAGTTTTCTCTTTTGAAATTACATTATATGTGAATCATACATTATTAACACAAATACATTTTCCAGGGCGAGACGATGCGGCAACCACAAGCAATACCACTGGTTCAAGAGGTCCACGAGGGAAAAATGCACAGTATTACCGTGATTACAGAGCACGGAAGCGAGTGGAGCAGGAAAAAGAGTCGTTGAATAGAACTAGTGATCCTTCTACGACTGCTGATTCTTCTACAATTAACGTCGCAGGATCAGTAACATCGAAGAAAAGGAAATCAGCCGCGGAATACCAGAGAGAGTACCGAGCGCGTAAAAAAGCCAAACGTGACAATAAACTAATTGATTTGCTAGCTGTAATTCCATCAATTCCGACGGGGGGATTTACAAACACTCATCAATCAACTATAGTAGACAAACTAACAACTACTGAGCCTTCTATTAATCCACCAACGACTGCTAGGCCTTCGGCGAGTAGTGATATTTGGTTTGCAAAGCCAATAAGGAGGAAAACACCCGCAGAATATCAGCGAGAATATAGAGCAAGGAAAAAAGCTCAACGGGAATCTACGAGGGCTGCGAAAACCAACGACGGTTCACTGGAGGTTGCTGATGAAAATACCAGCAATATTGGTGACGAAAATCCAAGGATAAATCTACAAGTCCCATATACCACATCCCATCAGCATAAGAAAGCTCACAACTACATTAGAACATAATTCACCGAGAACAATATTGGTTTTGCATGCTCGATATGTGATCGATTATGGTTTAAACCAAGGATGAGAAACGCGCGGCCCGCGGGCCGCTTGCGGCCCCTTAAACATGTTTATGCGGCCCGCCAAGCATTTCTAAAATTGAATTTATTTTATCGAATTTCAGTAAAATGGTAGTACATACTGAACCGAAATATTTTTTGTTCGTTTTTCTGTTCTTTTCTTGTTTGTTTTTACCTTGCATTAAAATTTGTATATGAAATCTTTACTTTTTTTATTTTATATTTTTTTATTCTAATATTTATTATAAATAAAGATTCGTAAATTATTATGTGCGGCCCGCCAAAAAATTTTAAATTTAAATTAGCCCATTGATTAAAAAGGTTGCTCACCCCTGGTTTAAACAAGATTTGAGAGGACTCTCTTCAGATATTGGTCAGGAAGTTCTGGACAAAATCTTACCAAATGTTCCCAGAGAAAGTATCGAATTGTGTACACCGTGTTTTGTCAGTGCAGCATAACAAAATACCTATAGATACTAGATTTCAACTCAGGTTGTGAAAACGAGGAACAACTTGAGAGTGCACGTAGAGCACTTGAAAAGAAAAAATTACCAGCAGACACCGGTGGATTACTGAAACGTTTGACATATGTACTAGGGCAATATTACATCATAACGACCAACATTGAAGTTGCTGATGGATTGGCCAACGGCGCCTGAGAAAAATGGACCACATCGAAAGAAATGATAAAGGGGAAGTTACTCGGGTATGGTGATATTTCCGAATTGTGAAAGAACTGGAGTAAAAGCTCTGGCCGTGGCACGTTCATTTATGATTGCTAATAATCTTAATCCTTTAGTTTTCCGGATCGGTCAACGAAATGCTACACTCTATCTTACTAGACAAAGTAGTATTTCAGCTAAAAGAAATCATTTTCCACTGGCACCGGCCTGAGGATTGACGATTCTGAAGTCGCAAGGAGGAACTTTCAATGAGGTGGTTTATTATTATGAAAAAATTCAATCCCAACAGTTGGTTTACGTTGCGATGTCGAGAGCGGTTTCAATTGAAGGCTATATTATCCCAGTCAACAAACATAAAAAAAAATTACTATAGGAACAGGAGTAACGTGTGCCGCTTTACGGAATGAGGTGATGAAACTGCGTCTAAATCCACTTTCCACTTATGAAGAACTATGTAAAATCATCTCGAAAAGAAACTTATTAATCGTAGCATTCAATTGTTAAAGTGTTCGTGCACACGCCAATGATTTGACGGATAAAGTTTTTGAAAAACCGAACATTTTAATGTTATCGGAAACATTTATGGACGATAATGAACCTCCTGTTCTCATACCGAATTTTGATTTAATTGTAAGATTTCAACGTAAATTCGGAATGCAAGGGTTGTTTTCTATCACAATTAGAAAAATAGATGTCATATTGTTACTCCACATTTAGATATAAAAGCTCTTTACTCAGGTAATCCTGATGTGACAATTTCAACGTCAAAAAGAATTCGACACATATGTGCTGTAGAGTGCATAGTCAACCACAGCGAAAATAATCCGAATAAATTGATTCTAATTGCCATGTATATTTCACCAAATGCAGCCATGAGGGATATTAAATTATTTATTGCAAAATCTTTATTGCCACTATCCACTGCAGGTTCACAATCTCTGGCAGACGTTACTGGTAAAGAAATTGATTATTGTGAGCGGCCTGTGATCCTTGCAGGAGATTTTAATGTGAATTTCTCGTTACCTGAAGCTAACACCTTCCTTAAAGACAAATTTGGATTGGAAATGATAAATGATAATGGATAAATGGTAAACCAAAGGTGAACTACCATTGATGCAGTTTTTGCAAGAAATATTGGAAAAATAGAACTCAAACATTTCGTATCTTATTTTATTTATCATAATACCACTGTAAATGTTATAGATTTGGATATTTCTCCACTCGAAAATGATAATTAAAATATGCGATCAATTGTGAATTGTAAGTAATATTAATAAAGTTTGTCTTAAAGAAACAATATGATTTCTCTAAAAATCAATTCCTACAGCTTCCTATTTTCATTTCAACATTACGAAGCTTCACTTCTTCCGCGCGGAGAAATAAGATGTGAAAGTAACTATTAGCATAAAAACACGAAACCAGAGTTGCGTTAAAAATATATCCAAATTGACACGAATTCTATTAATACGAATATTGATAATTGTATAGAAAAATATCCATATTTTTCGCCGTTTCCTAGCTATACAGCTGAATAAGTATGGGCTCATTCAGCTTTATTTAAGTTGGAAGGCATACAGTTGAGTGTTGTGTTAATACAATTACTAAATCTTGGTACCTTGGATGGACCAGGATTACCAAAGTATTTTAGGACCAGCAGGTTTCCTTGGTGGTATTGTCATAAGATATAATAAGGAATAAATAATTTAAAAGAAAAGGTTTTTTTATTTATGGAATATCTAACTAATGTTACAGAAGAAAAACAGTTGTAATAACTGTTCTCTTTGAAGAAAAACAGTTGATTACAACTGCCCTGTCCTGTCCTTAACGTTACCTAAGTAAATATAAAAAACTGCTTCATATTTTTTATATTCTGGTTATTTTGCAAATCGAGGCTTATTTATAAGTTTCTTTTAAAATGCACTATTGTTGCTAGCTATTGTCAGGGAGAATTTATTACCTAATTTGGAAAAGTTTTAAGCTTCATCACAATATTTATCAGCCCATAAGAATTAATACTCTGTCACAATGTGCCTAGTGTAATACACTAGGCAAAGGCCTATGAACATAGAGTATTAGGGTATAGTCTTCAACGCAGCCCGTGTGCAAACTTCACGCATCTTCGAAATAATTTATTAATTTTTATTGCGAAAATATGCAGGTCAGGATGTTTTCCTTCAACGCTAACGCCCAGTTTCCGAAAGGCCAATCAAAGCAGCAATCACATAAGACTATGTCAAAAATGATCAGCTGTTAATCTCTTGTTAAACTGCCTTGGGTTTCTGGAAGGTTTGTTCAAGAAAAATTAGCTAATCACTGTATAACCAACGATAATGAATGAAATGAATGATTTACTTCAACTAACACTTTCTATTGTATAGCTGTCCCTTTTTAAACAAAACTTAAATAACGTCACTATCCAGTCTTGTCACCGTGTGATTGCCAACGTAAAAATCCGAGTT